CTGTTTTTCATGATAAACCCATGGGTTTATCGTGAAATATACTATGGCTGTGTATTTCTTTGAGCAAACTAAAAATGAGAAAGCAAAGAAGAAGCAGTGGTCCTACTCTGGCTACAGAATCCCTGGGTGGTGTAAACATTAAGTGCTCAGCTGCGAACTGAAAGGTCAGCAGTTCGAGTCCACCCAGAGGCTCCTCAGAAGAAAGGCCTGGCAACCTACTTCTGAAAAACCAGCCATTGAAAACCCTGTGGAGCACAGTTCTAGTCTGACACACATGGGGTCACCAGGAGTCAGAATCAACTCCATGGCAACTGGTTTCGTTTTTGTGGTTTTGAGTGGAGTAAACAGTTAATGTACTCGGCTGCTAGCCAAAAGGTTGATGGTTTGAGTCTACCCAGAGGTGCCTTAGAAGAAAGGCCTGGTGACCTACTTCTGAAAAAGCAGCCATTGAAAACACCATGGAACACAGTTCTACTCTGACACACATGAGGTCGCCATGAGTCAGGGTCAACTCGACAGCAACTGGTTTACTATGGCTGCAGTCCTTGAAAGCCATCCTCCGCGGGATTTGATGGCTCTTTGGAGCTGGTGCAGAGTGGGGGGCCACTGCCCACATCCCTTGGTAGCACCCACTCTCCTTTCTGCCCTGAGTCCCGTGCCAGGCAGAATGGGCGCCCTGGGCAATGGCTTCCGGACCTTGGGTGGGGTCACCTGACTGGGAACGGAGGTCACACCCAGCAATGGCTGGCCCAACAGGTTCCCCATTTGGGTGTCTTCTGCCCCAGGAGCAAACTTTGCTCTCAACCTGGGGAGAGGCTGCTGCAGCCAACAGGCTGTGTGCGTAGGTCAGGGGTCAGGGAGAGCCGGGCTTGGACGGAAAGCCGACTTGGGGCCCTTGACACGGGTGGGGAGACAGCATGGGCGTGGTAAAGGAGGAGAGACAAGGACTGTGGATGGACAGGCAGGGGTCTCTGTGTAGGGGGCTCGTGGACACGCAGGGGTATTTGTTTGGTGGGTGGTGGAGCACAACAATGCTGCTGACCTTCGATGCTGCCTGTTCTTTATAATAGTGCAAAGTGCCTCCCAGGTTAAAATTGCCTTGTTGTTGTTAGGTGTCAAGTTAATTCAGGCTCATAATGACCCCATGTGACAGGGTAGAGCTGCCCCATAGGGTTTCCTAGGCTGTTTACAGAAGCAGATCAGTAGCTCTTTCTCCTGTGGAGCTGCTGGGTGGGTTCGAACCACCAGCCTTTCAGTTAGCAGCCAAGCCCTTAACTGTTGCACTGCCAGGCTTCTTTACAAGGGAAATCGGTCACATTAAGAAGAAAAGGACGCACTGAAGTTTAGCGTCTTCTGGCTATCTATTTGGGTGCATTTTGCTTGGAATGTGTACCAATGCAAGCCTAAAATAAACCCATTTCCCAGCGAGGCTGGGTAATGTCTCAACAGCATTATTCTGGGTGAATGAACCTTGGTGGTGCAGACACCACACCGCTCCCCCACCCCGCCCCAAGCCAGGCCCTGGACCAGCCAGGCCACACTTCACAGCCCCAGCTCCTGGGGGAGGGTGGCGTGACTGCTGCTGTCCTCGGGGCCCGGAATGTTCTGTGGAATGTGCAGGCTGCCCTCCCCGTGTGGGGGAGCCAGGCTCCACGGCAGCCCCTCCTTGGCCACAGAACAGGCTCAGCCGTACATGCTTTTCTGGGGTGGTTTTAGCAGAGAGCCGTGTTTTTGGAGACCTTGGTGGCTTCTGGCGCTGATCGGGGACACAACCAGGCTTCCTGGGTGCCTCACGGTGACCCCCGGCTGTGCTGTGATTTAGGTCAGTCATGTGGTGGCAGAGGGATTCCTGGGCCACAGCTTGGAACCTCCTGGGGGAGGCCCAGACCCAAGGCTGGCAGCTAGTGTGTAGATTGGGGGCTGGGACCCACTGGTGGATCTGGGTGGTGGTGCCCCCTGGGCCCGCTCACAGCCCTGCTTCCCCCCGGCAGTGTGTCCCTGCTGAGAGCAGGAGGGGCTGGTTCCCAAACCTCACTCCCACGGAACTGCCGGCAAATTCTAAGGTTGGCATTCTCTTCCAAGTCCACAAGGAAAATAGGAAGGTGGCATCACCTTGGGTAAGCTCTGAGTCCCGAGACTCAACCTCCAGGCGGGCCACCATGGGCAGGTGTCTTGGCGACCCTGGGCCTCAGTTTCCTTTCTTGCAGGCCTCTGACTGCCTTAGTGTCTGCAGAGTTCTGGGGCAACACATAGGAAGCCTGGCGAGTGGTGGCTATACTGCTTTTATCAGAAGAAAAGGAAAAAATTAACAGGCTGAGTTGTCTCCATGTTACATTTTCGCCCCACAAGGCTCCCCCCAACCCTGGTCATGCAGCATGCAGCCATCCTTGTTCCAGCTCAGGTTAGTCACGGCCACACAGAGGTGGCCCCATGGTGCAGGCTCTGTTCTACACCCTTTACACTGATTAGCCCATTGACTCTTCACAGTACCCTCCCAAAGCCAGTTGCAGTGGAGTCAATTCCGACTCATGGCAACCCCACGTGTGTCAGAGTAGAACTGCGCTCCATAGGGTTTTTAATGGCTGATCTTTTGGAAGTAGATTGCCAGGCCTTTCTTCTGAGGTACCTCTGGGTGGACTGGAACTTCCAACCTTTTGTTTAGCCACCCAGTGCTTACCTGTTTGCTCCTCCCAGGACTCCACAGTACTCTCAGGGGGTGGGTGTTTGTTGTTGTCCCCATTGTATAGATTCTAAAACTGAGACACAGAGAGCTGGCATTGCTTCCTTACTGAAGACATTAGTTTTCCACAGGTCCCAGGCAGAGCCGCCCCCTCACAGGTGTGAAGACCTAGCATGTGATAGGAGCCAGGAGCCCCTGTGGGTACTTGAGGAGTAGAGAGATGAGATGAGGGCCGTAGCAGTTTCCCAGGCTGCTGTAACAAAGTGCCACACAGTGAGTGACTTAAAGCAACAGAAATTTACCCTCTCACTGTCTGGAGGCTAGGAGTCTGAATTCAGGGTGTCAGCAGGGCCACGTTCTCTCTGGAGGCTCTAGGGGAGGATCCTTTTCTTGCCTCTGCCAGCTTCTGGCTTGACTTGTGGCTGCTCCAGTCTCTGCCTGCATTGTCACATGGCTGTTGTCTTTGGGTGTCTCTCTGTGCCTCTGTTTCCTTTTCTTATAAGGACACCAGTCATAAAGAGATTAGGACCCCCCTCCTCCGGTGTGACCCCACGTGAACTAATTATACCTGCAAAGACCTTATTTCCACACAAGGCCGGGTTCATAGCTCCCGGGGCTCAGACTTCAGCATATGTTCTGGGGGGACACAATTCAGTCCATTATAGTGACAGTGGGAGAACAGACCATCAGGATGGAGTGGCTGGAGGCTTGTAGTGCCTGGGGGACAGCGATGCCTCGTCAGTCAGGATGGGCCCAACTCTGCTGCAATAACAAGCAGCCCCGTAAGTGCTCACCAGCAAAGCCTTACTTCCCACTCCTGCTGCATCCCAAGTCAGCTGGGGGGCTGCGTGTCTCAGGCCCTCAGGGCCCCTGGCCAGTGCAACCCCATCATGACACCATGTCTGTGGTCACTGTAGCAGGGGAAGGGGAGATGGCAGATCATGCACTGGTACTTAAAGTCCTTGCCCGGGAGGGACACACATCCCTTCTACTCACATCATGTGTCATTGGCCAGAGCAAGTCACAGGCCACACCCTACCCAAAGGGGCAGGAAGGACAGCCACACTGTGCTTGGAAGGAGGAGAGGGAACCATTGAGGACAGCACTATGGACAGCATCAGGGGCTAGGCTGCTGTCTGTGCTGGTGCCAGGCCAGGGGCTGGAGGTGGGGCAGGTGAGGGATGACAGATTGGACAGAGGCAGAGGTGGGCTCAGGGGGAGGGCGGGGGTGGGGACACACGCTGCCAGGAGGGATGGGCCTGAGGGGCAATACACAGGTGGCGCCAGCACCACTGCCCATGCTGGGCAGGGTGTCCTGCGGCCATGGGCTCGGGGTCGGAGCTCTGCAAATGCCTGCCCAACTTCTGCATTTACGAACCCACAGTGACAAGGTGTAGCGGCACTCTTGGACTAGGTCCCAGATATTTCCTGAGGCGGGGATGGCCGGCCACATTCCAAACCCAGGAATGTGGGAGAGTGAGGGTGTGTTGCTGCCACATGGGAGGCCGTGTATAAGAAGGCTGGCTTGGTTGTATTGCCCGCCACGTGGGGTGGCTACAAGAAAGAGGGAATCTGACAGGCCAGGGGCCCATCCGGATCCACCGTGTCTTTGGCCAGGCCCCAGGCCCCTCTGGGTCACATGTGTTCCTTTGCACAATGGGAACAGGACAGCCCACGCCTCCAGGGCCAGACGTGATCATGCCCCTAAACCACCAAAGCAGAGCTGGCATGACGGCTTTGCGATGTTGCCATAAGACGGATGCTGTGGTCACACCACATGGTCTGACTCAGGCCTCAGGGAACTCCTCAGGACAGCGGGATCATCTCCATAGTGACCATGAGGGAGTCATCCCAAGAGCTGGGTGGCAGGCCAGGTGCCCCAGGAGGCTCGTGGCTGAGCTGGATTCCGGCCCAGGTCTGTGGGGCCCATCCACCATGTGCCCACACCCACCCGCCCAGCTCAAGGGGTTTCCTCAGCAGGCCTGCTGCCCACCAGACAAACAGGGTGGCCTTGCAGACCCAACCTCTGCCCCAGAAGATGGAGAACCGGCCACCTGCCTGGCCCTGACAAGCCCCTCAGCCCCGGGGAAGCACTTTGTGGTCATGGATGTGCTCATGGCTGGCTGCCACCAGCTGCCATGGTGGCCTTTGCTCATGGTGGCCTTTGCATGAGACTGTGGCCAGGGCAGATCCTATAAAGAGCAGGTGGTGTCAGGTGGGCTGGAGAGCGGTGTCTGTTCAACAGGTTCGAGGGAGCAATGCCCTCGTGGGCTGCCCTCACTCTGCCCTGTCCCTCCCCAGGCCCACGAGGCTGCCCAGCATGTCCCAGCGGCACTCGGACAGCTCCTTGGACGAGAAGCTCCTGGAATACCGCTTCCACTCAGAGCTGCGGCTTGATGCAAATGGCAGCCCAGCATCTGGGCTCCCCATGGTCCGGGGCTCCCTGCAGGTCAGGGATGGGACCATTTCCCAGCCTGAGACCCCAGCACCCCCAGAAGACGTGGAGGCACGGCCCATCGTCTTGAGCACACAGAGCCCTGCCGCCCTCAAGATGGGCACACAGCAGCTGATACCCCGGGGCCTGGCCGTATACAGCAGGGCGAAGGCACCAGCCCGCCACCAGAGCTTCGGGGCAGCCACGCTCAGCAAGGAGGCCGCCCGGCGGAGCCCGGGGCTCTTCTCGGTCCCCAGCTTCTCCTTGGACGACATGGACGTAGACACGGGCTCAGGGGGCACCCTGAGGCGGAACCTACGGAACCAATCCTACCGGGCGGCCATGAAAGGCCCGGGAACACCGGGCAGGGAGGGGGGCCCCACCCAGCTCAGCCCTCGGCTCCAGGCGCTGGCCGAGGAGCCCAGCCAGCCGCCCTCTCGATCCCAGATGAAACACAAGGTAGGGACCTCTCGTCTGGCTGGACGATGGGAGGGGGCTTGTAGGCAGGGAGGGGCCTGACCATCATCTTCATCGTGGCCGCTGTTACTTAGTGACCGCCTGTTGCTTGCAGGCATGGGGCTATATCCAGTTGGGCCCAGTGGCCAGGCTGTGTGCTGAGTGTAAAGGCAGTCCTTTCACAGATGAAGCAGCTGAGGAAGGTTGAGGATCTCACCCAGGCCCCACTCTGGAGTCCTCGCTCTCAGCCGCAGTGTTAAGCCTCTCTAAAGCAGGCTGGCTGAATGGCAGGTGTTTGTGATGAGTTTGTGGAGCACCGGCCCTGGCTCAGTCTGCCCAAGGGGCTCCATCCAGGGTCAGGAGAGGCTGGGCCACCAGCTCAAGCCTGCATGCCCCTGCAGCCGGCACTCAGGTACCTGCAGCCAGGAGGTTAGATGTCCCTGGGCCGCTGGACCCTGGTGTCCCTTGCCTGACTCGGGACTGGCCTTTGCAAGCATGTACATGAAGTTCAGGCCCCTACCCACCCCTGCTTGGTCTCCCACTCTGGTGGGCCCACAGACCGGCAGGGGATGGGATACGGGAGCTGATGGGGGCAGGAGAATCGAACCACTGGAGCTTCTCCAGCAGCCTGGAAGGTTCTCAAGGGTGGAGCACAGAAGCAGGCCTGGCCCCAGGCTTTTCTGTGCTGAGGCCTGCCCAGACCCCTTCCTGGAAGCCCCAGGCACTTGCTGCCTCCGTGAAGACCTGGGGTGGGGCCTTCCTGCTGGGTGAGCCTGGCAAAGTTCTGAACCTTCTTGAGCCCCAGCGTTACCATCTGTAAGTGCAGTCGACAAGAGCAAAACCTGGGGGGTCTCAAGAGGAGACAGAGTGGCCACGGGGGCCAAGGGCCATGCAGGGTGCTGGGAGGAAGGCATGCTGAGCAGTGGCGTCTGCTCTCGTTGCTGCCCCAACCCCCTCACCACGGCCTCCTCTGCCCATGGCTCCTGCGCTGACCTAGTGGTATCCTAGTCAAGCCATGGGGGCGACTGAAGTTATGGGCAGGGCCCCCAGTGCCCCTGCTGCCAACACTGTCCTCGGTCTAAAGAGACACCTGGTTGGGTGGTGGGACTGGCCTCCCCTCCAGGCCTGCCTGAGAGGCCTGGGTCCAGGACCCAGCTCAGGACCTCTGCTGCCATCCCTACACCCCAGGGATTGGCGCCCCACATGCTCTGCACCACCCAGGCCTGGCCTGCAGGCTTCATTCAGTCATTCGCTGTGGATTCCTGCTTTCAGCAAATGCTTCCTGAGCATCCACTCCATGCCCAGAGCTAGAGTTCTTAGCGCCCAGGGCAGTTGGGGAGCTGCGGACAGGGAGACATGTTGGACGGGGCGCTCACAGCCTTGGGGCCAAGAGAGGGTCCCAGAGGAAGGACAGGGGCAGGTACAGGAGGGCAGAGGCTGCAGCCTGTTCAGAGATCTGGGTAGGGGGTGGGGTGTGGACATCTGAGGAGGCCTGGAGGGGCTGCAGGGCTGAGGGTGCAGAGGCCGGCGTGGCTGGGAGTGCCGCACGTTCCAGACCAGCATGGGGAGTTCAGGCCCTGGCTTGTTGGAGAAACCAGCCCCTGCCTTCCCAGAACCAGCACGTCTGCGAGGTGGAGGAAATGGTGTGTCTCAGCCAGGAAGGGCGGGCTAGTGCTGGGCACCTAGCTGGGGGCCTCCTGAAGCCCTGCCCACCCATACTCACTTCCACCCTCCTGTCCTTCCTCTAGCAGCCTCTGGGTGCCCGGCCTATGCTGAGTGCCGGATACTCATGGGCCAGTCCCTGCTCTAACTGCCATCCCAGGTCCCTGGCTCCCAGGGACCCTGTCTGCAGCCTAATCCCACCTACCCCCCAGTGTCCCTTCTCAGTTCCCTCCCAGCCACACCTGTCCTGCACTGGGCTTCCCTTCAGGCCCACTCGTACTCCCAAGGCCCCACACCCCACTCCCCCAGCATTCCTCTCTACTATGTCAGCCCTGCCTCCTCCTCCAGGCAGCCCTCCAGAACCGCCAGCCCTCAGTCGCCTGCCTCTGCCTGCTCTGAGCCAAAGTTACACCTTGGCCGAGCCTCCTTGTCCCTGCTTGGCGACTCTGAGTCACCCCTTGTGGCATAGACGATTAAGCACCTTCTGCATGCCTGGCACAAGTTGAGCATGGGGTTTCTGGACTCAGAGCAGAAGGATCTCCATAGAGCTGCCCCTGTCCTTGGCCTTGCTGATGTGGTGTATGTCTCTCATTTGCTGCAGAAGACGATAGGGCGGAAACGTGCACACAAGGGCTCCTTCAAGGATGGTGAGTGTGGCTATGGAAATGGGCTGGGCTCAGGCCCCAGTGGGAGCTGGTCTTGGGCTGCCGCTCACCTCACCACTGGGGCCGACCTGGGTTGCAAGGCCTCCTGGGCTTGGTGGCACAGAGGACCTGCTTACTGGGATCCTTCTGCTTCCAGGGGCTGGAGCTCTCAGGGCTGGGCTGATGGCTCTGGAAAGGTCTAGAATGTTTGCTGTGAATACCATCCATGAAATCCCAGGCGCAGGGGACAGACAGAGCTCCCAGGAGACGTTTGTCAGGCACCCCATGTGTGTGCCGAGCCCATCGTAGCTGTGCTGGGGGGCCAAGGCTGAGTGAAATGGGCACAGAATCTCTGCTGGATGCTGTGCGGGGAGCCACAGAGGTCTCGGGGGGCCCAGAGGATGTATGTTAGCCTGCTGAGGGTGGGATGCCAGCAGAACCCCCATGGGGAAGGGCCAGACATACATGTCCCTCTAGCCAGGTTGGGGCATTTTCCAGGTGTGAAGGGCTGGGAAGACATGGGCATTGGGGCCGGACCAGGGACTGCCTTTATCGTGAAGTTTGGGGACAGGATGGGGTCCATCCAGGAGGGCCCTGCCGGCCTGCCTGCCCTCAAGTCTTGGATGGGGCTCCTGGTCTGCGAGGGGGTGTCGGGGCCCAGGCCTCCTCCATGCACACCTGGGGGAAAGGTGTCCCAGGAGAATGGCAGGGATGGCATGAGTCTCAGAGCGAAGAGTGGGAGGGGGACATGAAGGGGTTACCACAAGGGCTTGGGGCGCCCAGCCAGAGGGCCTGTGGGACCTGACCTTGGGACAGCCCCACCCAGAGCCTCCCCAGGCCCCTCAGGCACTCAGATTGGTCAGCTTGGCCCTACTTAGAGGTGCCACATTCTGCACGGGGCTGCCACCTCTCCTACCCTGACCGCCATGGAAGCCAGCTGGCCTGAGGGTGGCCTGCTCTGGGGGACCCTGCGCCGTTTGTTGCTCACAGGGGCTCTGGGGGCCCCTCAGGAGGGCTCAGCCTGTGGGTTTCTGGAGGGCCAGGCCTCAGAGCCCCCCAGCCCACAGGTAACACTCCCCCTCTCCGCAGACCCCCAGCTTTACCAGGAGATCCGGGAGCGGGGCCTGAACACCAGCCACGAGTCGGATGATGACGTGCTTGAGGACAACACCAGTCTCAATGGCCCCCAGAAGGTGGACACCATTGTGGTCAAGAGCTACCGGCCTGCACAGGTCACCTGGAGCCAACTGCCCGAGGTAGGGTCTATGAGGGCAGCCAGGAAGGGAGGCTGAGGTGGCCCTGTGGCAGACCCTCTCTCAGCTGTGGTGGTTCACTCAGCCCTGCCCACCCCCAAAGTGCCATGTCAGTGCCTGGCTGGCCTGGGACACTCCCTCCTGGTGCCCCAGAGCCATACTGCCATGCTGGCCTGAGTGGGGAGAGAACAGCGAGCAATGTATTTGCCTTCCGACACATGTGCCCTGCTCACACTGACCTGCCAGGAGTTGGGAGCACAAGAGCCCCATCTTCCCAGGGGCCACACCAGGAAAGGGTTGGGAGGGTCAGCAGGAGGAGGCAGCAGGGAAGGCAGTGAGCCCTGGGCTGGGACTCAGCTGGGGCAGCAGCTTGGCCGTAGCCCCACGGCCAAGCTGCTGCCCCACCCTTCTCCCTTTCAGCGTCTGAGAACGGGGTGCCATCCTGCCCTTCATGGTTGTAGGGGCTCGGTGGACAGTATGGGGAACGGAGCCCTGGTGCTCTGAACAAGTGCAGGGCAGGAGGCTGCAGACAGTACCCAGGAGGGCATGGCTGCAGCCAGAGATCAGCAGACTGGTGACCGAGACCCTGATGGTGCCATAGGGTGGGGACGGCAAGCGGGTGGGTGGTGCCTGGCCCTGTGTGGAGGCCGTCAGCCAGGGTGTCTGCAGCATAAGGGGCTCCTTGTTGTCCATCTCCATGGGAGGCAGTGCTGTGTCTGCCCCCCATGCTCCATGCCATTGCTGTGGGACCTCTGGCCAGGGAGAGCCAGCATGGGGTTGGGGAGTCCCACCCCAGCAGAGGGAGAGATCTGGAAATGCACGTTTTTTTTCCACCTGCCAAGCGCAGCTGGGTTCCAGGAGCTGGGGGGAGGGGCTGTTACCTCTCCCCGGTCTGGGGTGGGGTCCAGGGATCCGTGCCAGGGAAAGCTGCAGGAGATTCTGACCCCAGCCTGGAAGATCTCGGCGGAGTCACAGGGCTGGAGGAGGAAGGCGGGAGGGGCTGGGCCCCCAGCCCACTAAGGAACTGAGTACAACGGCGTGGCCCTGCAGAGGGCACCCTGGGTGGTGCGGCAGGCCTGGCCTGATTCAGCTGTGCAGGGACAGGGCTCAGTGGCCCAAGTGAGCCACACTCCTGCCAGAGTGCCTGCAGGGTAGAGGCTTGGGGCAGGCAGTGATCTGTACTTCCATGCAAGGGCACTGACTCACCTGGCCCAGGTGGTGTCTGAGTCATGGCCTCACCTGGAGCTGAGCCCTCACAGCCTGTCCAGGGGCACCAGCCCCACTGGCTCCTGGGCAGGCTCCTGTCTCCCCATCCCTGGCGCAGACCCGCAGATGAGGTCGGGGGCGCCAGCCTTTCCCTCGGGACCATCACGCTTTCCTGGGCTGCCCCAGGCTCCTTGGAGGCAGTGCCCAGGGTAGTCTCCACAGGGAAGCAGGGGCGGTACCTGCCAGCCCAGAGGCCTGTCTCCCAGCACTCCCACCTACAGCCGTTCTTCGGGTGACCGTGCCCAGGCCACCCAAGCTCCCACCTTCCCGGGGCCTCTGTTCTCCCTGTGGGCTCCGGTCTGGTAGGGGGCAGGGCAGGGAGGGGACAGGAGGTGGGAGCTCACTGTGTCCCTCCCCGGGCTGTTTGCCCTCTCAGGTGGTGGAGTCGGGCATCCTGGACATGCTGCCTGCAGAGGAGCGCAAGAGGCAGGAGGTGAGGGGGGGCGCCTGGGGACGGGGGACCACGGACACAGGGACATTGTGCACTTGGTGCTTCTGGGGCGGGCACCCCCGTGAGGGTGGAGACCATTGTGGGCGTCTCCCTTATGCCAGGCCCGGCCTGAGCCTTCTATTGCATGTCCCTGACTCGAGGCCCTCGGGTAGGGCTCCTGTCACCCCCTTCTTGACAGGGCAGGGGGTATCCTGGCCAGGGTCACATGGCTCATGGGCGACTGAGCCTGCGTGCAGGCCCATGCCGGGCCCATGTCCAACAGTGGCCGTCCTGCCAGCCCTGCCCGGTTGTCTGTCCGGGTGTCTTGCCCACTCCTCGTACCCTAGATTGTCTTCTCGTCTGTGCCCCGTTCCCAGCATGCCCCCGTGCGCTCCCTTGTGGGGTGAAGCGGTTCCTTCGGGGGGCCTGGTGCACGTGGTGGGCTGCATGGCCCAGCGTCTCTCTCTCTCTCACCCAGGCCATCTTTGAGATCCTGACCTCGGAGTTCTCCTACCAGCACAGCCTGGGCGTCCTGGTGGCCGAATTCCTGCATTCCAAGGAGCTGCGGGCCACGGTGACCCAGACCGAGCACCACCATCTCTTCTCTAACATCTTGGACGTCCTGGGGGCCAGCCAGAAGTGAGCTCGTGCCCCAGCCCCCGCACACCCATACGCCTGCGGTTTCTGGGCCTCCAGCACCAGGGTGGAAGGTCGGGGCACAGGGAGACCTCGGGTCTGCATCTGCAGCCCTGAGGCCACCAAGAGCGGGTCCCAGGGCTGTGCTGGGCACCAGGGCTGTGGGGATCATGGTGCCCCCTCACCCAACCATTCACACCAGGTGGAGTGCTCTCAAAGGGCATGGCCACCCCTCTGGTGGGCACAGAGGGCCGCCACAATGCCTGCAGTACAGGCGGGGAGTCTAGGCTGGTGCTGGCAAGGATGTGGGGCCCACAGGCTGGACTGGAGCCAGGCCACTTGCCCGACTCAGACGCGGCCTCAGGTTGCAGCCATCGGGTCTTGTTCTGCCCAGCGGTGTCTGGTGGCCCTGAGCTGGCCACCGGCTCTGGTTGCAGGACTCGGGGGTGGGGAGGAGGGCTGGGTGCGTGCACAGGAGTGTGTGTGTATGCATGTGTGTATGCACCTCTGAAGGGCTCAGGCCTGCAAAAGTGTGTTTGTAAATATGTGTGTTTACCATGAGGAGGGCATGGACACAACTGTGTGTGTGTATACTTACCCTGTGGAGGGTGCAGGCCCGTGTGTGTGTGTGTGTGTGTGTGCGCGCGTGTGTGCGCGCGCGCGCGCGTTTACCCTGTGGAGGGCCCAGGGCCATGTGTGCGTGTGAGGGTGTGTGTGTGTATTTTACGCTGCAGAGGGCCCAGGTCCACATACATGTGTGTTGTGAGGGTGTGTTTGTGTTTACCCTGTGGAGGGCCCAAGCCCACGTGAGTGTGTGTTGTGAGGGTGTGTGTGTGTTTACCCTGTGGAGGGTGCAGGCCCTCGTGTGTGTGTGTTTAGCCTGTGGAAGGTGCAGGCCCACTTGTGTGTATATGTGAAGATGTGTGTGCGTTTACCCTGTGGAGGGTGCAGGCCCGTGTGTGTGTGTGTGTGTGTGTGAGGGTGTGTATGTGTTTATCCTGTGGAGGGTACAGGCCCTCGTGTGTGTGTGTGAGTGTGTATATTTACCCTCTGGAGGGTGCAGGCCCACATATGTGTGTGTTTTGAGGGTGTGTGTATGTTTACCCTGTGGAGTGCGCAGGCCCATATGTGTGTGTGTATGTGAGGGTGTGTGTGTGTTTACCCTGTGGAGGGCCCAGGCCCATGTGTGCGTGTGAGGGTGTGTGTGTATGTTTACCCTGTGGAGGGCGCAGGCCCACGTGTGTGTGCGCGTGAGGGTGTGTGTATTTACCCTGCGGAGGGCCTAGGCCCACGTGTGTGTGTGTGTATGTGTGTGTGTTTACCCTGTGGAGGGTGCATGCCCACAGTACACTGTGTGGACTCACCCCCTCTGCCCTGATCCCCCAAGACCCCGGCTTATCCAACCCCCAGCCTCAGCCGCCTCACTAGCCCGGAGGGCTGCCACCGCCCTGGCTGGTGGGGTCAGTGGCATGATCGGGTGGGCACAGTGCCCAGAACCCAGGCGGGACATACTCTCCAAACATGGTGGATGCTGGTTATCAGTGTCTACCCCGCTCCTGCTGAGCCCCACCCAGGAATCTGCTTCCTGTGGGCCTCCCACCCAGGGACGTGTCAGGCTGTGGGCGGGGGGTGGGTGACCGTCGTCCCTGAGGCAGGGACTTCAGTAACCGGCTGCCATGGAAAGTTCTCAACCCCGCACCCACCCCCTGCCTGGTCCTGACCCTTTGTTGTGCAGGTATCCACATATGAGGGAGGGGGCCAAAGGCCTGCCTGTCCTCTCTTCTGACCTCAGCAGGGTCTCTGACTGTCCCCCAGGGGGGACGGGGGCCAGGACGCTCCGATCCCTCCCCAAGCTGGGCCCTACAGCAACTCCTTGCCACTCGTGGCAGAGCCCCCTCCACCCCTGAGAATTGACGTTATTTTGGATCAGCAGCTGACCGCCGCTCCTCAGACCTTTCTCAGGCCCCGGAAACCTGCAAGTCACCCAGATGTGGTGCTGACCGCCCCACCCACCCACACACGCACACGCATGACCCTGCATCTGGCAGCGGGGGCTGCCGCTCCCATGGGTCCTTGTCTGTGGGGACCGCAGTCCCTGATGCTGATGCACTGTCCCCAAAGTAGGCGGGCTGGCCTGAGAATGTCCCACTTACAGGAAGCGTGCTCCCGGAGTTGGTGGAGGATCAGGCTGAGGACCAGAGAGCAGGGACTGCCTGAGGGACCCCTACCTGCCTCCAAGCCAGGCCTGGTTCCCCTCCCCCAAGGCCGTCACCAGGCCCAGCCCCCACTGGCCCTGATAACTGAGTGAGGCCTGAGCCTTCTAGGCGGCAAGTGGGGCACCGACTGATAGGCTCACTACGGAGTGGTGCCCCTGCCCCAGGTCCAGGGCAGGCTGGAGGGGAGGGTCCCTTGGTGCCCTGGAAATCTCTGCCAGCCTCAGAATCGGAGAGCTGTGACCTCCTCCCGGCCCCACCCCCACATGTCCTCCTGGGCTGGCAGGACCAGTCTGTCCCTCGCCTTGTGTGAGCCCTTGTGTGGGCCAGGCCAACCAGCTGGAGAAGGCACGGCCCCACATCCCATTGTCTTGCCGCCGCACACTCCCTTGCCACTGTCAGACTGTTTGCAGGGGAGATAGAAGGTGAGGGATGGGGCAGGCTTGCCTCCATGTCTCATGCGAGGGGACTCTGCCCTCCACCCTTCAGATGTTAGCCTGGCTATCTCTGTCCTCAAGATAGGCCACCGCTGGCAGGGCTAAGCGGATCAGTAGGGTCTCGAACACAGAACCAATCGACGAGGCCAGGAGCAAAATCATCAGGGCCTCAAACACAATCGACTGTGGGAGAGGCGCCGGCTGTCAGGGTGAGATTGGGCTTAGGCCGAGAGGCCGGCAGCGCAGAGGGCTTCTCAGAGGACAAATTGCTCAGGAGGGGAGCTGCCATTCTGGGCCCTGCTGACGCGGCAAGGCCTGGAGGGGTGGTGGGGCCATGGGGCTCGGCACCTTCAGGGTCTGCACGATCCCATGGCCCTGCCTGGCCCCGTCCAGTGGCTCCATCCCCATCTCCCTGGGCCTAGGTCCATGTACATGGAGGCCCAGAGGAAGCCCAGCCGGGCCCTGCCCCCAACCCTTAGCCAGCTTGCTCACAGCAAGATACACCCTGCAGAGAAGGTGGGTCTCCTGCATGCTTGGAGCACAGCCCCTTGGAGTTCCAGGGATGAGAGTTCCAGGTTAGCCCCTCTGCCTGACCAGGAGGCTGGGCAGTTTGCATCTCCCCTGATTTGTGGGCAGTTTCTATCCCTGCGCTTGTTTCTGCAGTGGAGGGGTGGGCACAGGGCTCAAAATCTTCCCAGCTGGATGCTTCCCTGGGGACCCAGGGGGGCAGGGTGAGCACTCTGCAAGGTGGCCCAGGGGCTGGACCATTCTGCAGCATTCTGCGCCCCCTTCCCAGCATGCCCAGCCATGGGGATGTGGCTCCTACCATTAGGGGGTCCCAGGAGCACTGCCCGGCGGGTTTGGGGGAGGTCCCAGCCAGCAGGTCCCAGCCTCACGCTGCCTAACCCTGCCATCCGGGCAGGCCCATTAGCCAGTCCTCAACACTTCCCTGACCTCAGGCAAGCCCCTCCCCTTCCCTGGGCCTCAGTTTCCCTTCCAGCCAGATACAGGGTCTGGGCTTGTCCATGGTGCTCAGTCTCCCCGCCCTGTGCTAGACTAAGGTGAGCAGGGCCCGGGTAGACCATGGCAGTTCTGACCCACGGCCCAGGGAACCAAGGCAGGCGGGGCTTCCAGTTATGAGGTCTCTGCCCAAGGTCTCTGTCCCAATGCCCCTCAGAATCAAATGTTCATCAAAACGTGGCCTTAGGTTTGGCCACAGTTACACACCCAGTTATTTTGAGTTCACAGAGCTGATCTTTCATAGGGTTGTCCTGGGACAGCTGTGACTTAACAGCTGCTAGGCCCTGGCCTGGCTCCCATCTGGGGTTCCATTCAGCTTAGACAGTGACCCACTGAGCCCCAGCCACCTCTGGGAGCCCAGCTTATCCTCTGCCAGGCACAGTGTGTGTGCAAGTACATGTGTGTATGTGCATATTCATGTATGTGCATATTCATATGCATGCACACATGTGCATTCATGAATGTGTTTATGTGTCTGCATGTGTATTTGTGTGTACGTGCATTTGTGTGTATGTGTGTGCATGTGTGTGTTGTGCATGTGTATGCATGCATATTGGTGCATGTGTATATGTGTGTGCACTGTGTTCCTGTATGTGTGTGCACTGTATGTTCATGCATGTGTGTGCATGTGTGTGCATGCATATGTATGTGTGTGTTTGTGTGTAAATGTGTGCGCACCAGGACCATGCCCTCACCCCCACACCACCCCCATAGGTTTTTCGAGGACCTGGAGCAGCGGCACAAGGAGCAGGTGTGCGTGGACGACATCAGTGACATCCTGGAGGAGCACGCTGAGCGACACTTCCAGCCCTACGTGGTCTACTGCTCCAACGAGGTCTACCAGCAGCGCACCCTGCAGAGGCTGATGTGAGTGCCCATCCCCAGGGCCCCGGGAAGCCTGGGCTCGGACAGGGATCGCCCCTTGGTCTCCTAAGTGCTCTTGCTTGCAGCCTAGTCTCTAGCTCCTGCCTGGTTTCTATGGGGCCTCAGGAATGCTGTGTCCTCTGTTGCAGAAGCAGCAACGCCGCCTTCCATGAGGCCCTGCAGGAGATCGAGCGGCAGCCTGCATGCGGGGGCCTGCCCATGATCTCCTTCCTCATCCTTCCCATGCAGAGGGTGACCCGGCTGCCCCTCCTGATGGACGTGAGTCTGGGCTGGGCCCGCTAGAGCACCCCGCTCAGGGCCAGCTCTGCTGTCTCCTTGCTCCTTGGCCATGCTTCGCCTCGCTGTTGTTTCAATGATTGTGGTGATGGTCACGAGGTGACTTTAATAATAGTAATAATCAGTGGCTGATGTAACAACCGTGCACTGTACATGCTCCCCCTGCCAGTGTTTCCATGTTGATGAGTCGAAACTGGTGCTGCCCAGACCCCTGCATGCCAGTGGTCCCGGCTGGGGCCGCCTCCTGCTCTTTCCCTGACCCTTGAGGCTGGTAGGCACCACGAGGGTCATCCCCACGTCGTGGGTGAAGAACAGAGGCTCAGGGCTTTCGTGGCATGGTCAGCCCACGGGACAGAGATGGGGACAAGCAGAAATGGGGGCTGCCTGGGGGCCTCCCCAGGCCGGATGGAGAGGGCCAAGGATAGGACAGGGGTGTCCTAGAGGGGATGTGTCAGCTCCAGGGGCCCCATCCAACATGGCCTGACCTGGCTGGAGCCCTGGGCAGTGCAGTGGCTGTTTGGGGGGTTGGCAGGAGACCCCTGGAGGCCGACCTTTGACCTACGGGCTCTTGTGTTGGAGGGAACCCCTGCCCCATGCAGGCTCCTGGCCCTCACATTGGTGCCTTCTCTCCAGACACTCTGCCTGAAGTCGCAGGGCCACCCAGAGAGGTACAAGGCTGCCAGCCGCGCCATGAAGGCCATCAGTAAGGTGAGGCTGGGTCTAGGCAGAGGCTGGCCTGAGTTCTACCTCCCTCCACCACTCAAGGGGTGTGGAGACACCAAGGGAGGGGCCAGGAGGGATCTTAGATTATCTATCCCGAGCTTTCCATGGTATCGATGGGGAAACTGAGGCCCAGAGCAAGAGTGGAGCTCGCCCCAGTCCATCGGTGGACCAGGATCGTGCCCAGCACCCCCTCCAGGGCTGGTGGGCGGTGGGGCGCCCTGCCACCCCCCAACATCCACGCATGCATCCTGCCTGGCAGTTGGTGAAGCAATGCAACGAGGGTGCACGCACGATGGAGCGCACAGAGCAGATGTACACGCTGAACAAGCAGCTCGACTTTGGCAAGATCAAGGTGAGCTGGCAATTCATGCTACCTCCCGCAACCCCCGCCTTCCCAGGGCCTCTGCCAGGCCTAGCTTTCTGCCATCCTAGGCCTAAAGTTAGGGTCACACCTCCCAGTGTTAGGGGTCACACCCCGGGGGTCAGGGCTGCACACAGGCCTGTAGGACGGGTGCCACGTTGGGCAGTGTGCCTCTAGCCCCACTTGGGTGGGTCCCTTTGCCTCCCTGGCCACACATGCTCAGCTTCCCAGCCCTCCCTTTCTGGCCTGTGCCCCCCACCCCCAGGGCTGCCCAGGCAGCGGGGGACCTGGGCCAAGTGGCCAAGCCTAAGGCACGGTGGGCAACGGGCCCCAATTAGCCCAAGACCAGTGGGGATGGCGGCCTCAGCCCAGCTCGGGTTTTAAATTCCCCGTAAGGCCAGGACTTGTCCTTAGGTACTGGGAGAGGGAGGGCTGGACAACCCTAGACTTCCCTTGCAAGCAGGCAGGGCTCAAACTCCTCTGTTTCCCGGGTCCCCCGTGATCCCACAGGCTGGCTTCATCCCTGTGTTGTCCAGGGGATAGCCACCCCAGAGAGTGGGCCAGTGCCCCACCGTAGGCACCGAGTCACTCGGGCTTCCGCCCCCTGCTGGAAGGGCTCCCGTGGGAGGTCAGGGGACACGCGAGGAGCAGACAGCCCCACCTGTGAACAGCTGCGCCCCAGGAACCAAGGGTCTGAGGCTGCTGGGCCTGATTCTGGCCACCCCAGTCTAGCACATCCAGAAGGGACCCTGCCCCCTGAGGCTTGGCTCCCCTCCCCACCAGAGCTGCCTGCCTGCCAGTGGGCCAGCCTTGTTTATCCATCAACCAGGTGACCCGCGGACTTCAATGAGGAGGCTGGAAGCTCGGCGGGGAGTGGGGGTCAGTGTGAGGTCGGGGACCAGGCAGGGTCAAGCCAAGGAGTTTGCACAGGGAGCCGATTGCTCCCTGCACCCATTCTTCCCGTCCTGCCTGCCTCTGGCCCATCAGACCCCAGAGCACTGCTCCCCTCTTGTGTTTCCCTCACCCCCTTTCTGGCAGGCTCTGGGTAACTGGGCATCCCAGCTGGGCCCCCCAGCACCACACTCCATGCCCAGTGTATTCTGTGCCCCACGGGGACCCCCACTGCCTCCTGTAGACCACCCTCATCCTGCACCCCCGCCAGCACCTGGTCTATCTCGCTCATCTTTCCAACACCCTTTGCCGGGCTAACTCAGCCCCACATTGACCACACACCCCAGGGCCACCCTGTCGGCGGGAGGGCAGGTCAGTGCCAGCCCCATGCCTAGCATGAGTGCTGTGGGGGCCCAGCATGGCGGGGAGGGGAGCCCCTGCCCTGCCAGTGCCCCTTACTTATCCAGCCCAGGGTGAGGACAAGCCCCCAGATGCCAGAGCAGGGCCATCCAGGCAGGCTGTCCTTGGTGCTCCTGTGCCCAGCCCTGGACCAGGCCTCATGCCCAGCCTGGGTGGAGCATACAGTAGGTGCTCCGTCAGCCTTGGGGCCTGGCTGAGGCTGCTGGCCACCTGAATGGCCCTTTGTTTGAGGCCTGGATGAAGCTATGTTCCCTGCCGGGCCGGCTAGCTGGGTCACCTGTTCTTAGGACAGGATTTGTTACCAGTCTGCAGCCCAAGGTCAGTCCTTCTGGGCCGCACACCCTGACCCCCACCCACTCGGGGCCTTGCTCACCCTCGGCCCTGTCCCCAGTCCCTCGCGCTCATCTCCGCCTCCCGGTGGCTGCTGAAGCGTGGAGAGCTCTCCTTGGTGGAAGACGCCGGACTCTTCCGAAAGATTGCCAGCCGGCTGACTTGTTACCTATTCCTGTTCAACGATGTTCTGGTGGTCACCAAGAAGAAGAGGTGGGCCTGCTTCTGGGGAGAGCTGCTGCATCCCACTATGGAGGGGGTGACACCGAGATGGGGAGTGAGGCTGCAGCCCCGGCCTTGGACTCAAGGAGGGGGGCTGGGGCCAGGTCAGGGTGGGTAACCCTGTCCCAGCCTGGTCTGTCCACAGCCGCCTGGGCCCCTCTGCTCGAGGACACACACCCTTCTGCTTGGCTCTGGCTTCTGCCTGCAGACCCTCGGTGACCTGACCGTGCTTGACCTCTGTTCTCCATGCTCGGGGGGTGGTGGGTGGGTAGTAGCTCCTCTGGAACAGACCTTCGGGGCCAGGCCCTGGCTGCTGCAGACGGAGTGGGAGGGCAATGCTCTGAGGCTGCCTGCCCCAGGCCCGCGTCTGCAGCATCCAGCTGATGGCCTGATTCCTGACAGCGAGGACAGCTATGCAGTCCAGGACTATGCCCAGATAGAACACATCGAGGTCCAGAAGATCGAGCCCTCGGACTTCCCTCTGCCGGGCAGCAGCAACCGCACCTCCTCTGTGCCGTACTCCTTCTTGGTGACCATGCTGCGCAACAGCGAGGGCCGCCAGGAGCAGATCCTGCTTTCCACCGACTCTGCGTAAGACCCACCACTCAGGCCCCAGCTCCCAGCATTGCCCATTTGGCTGTAAGCTCCAGAAGGGCGGGGTCCATCAGCTCAGCATTATTTGTTCCCCAAACGTCTGCTGAGCACCTACTGCATGCCCGGCACTGGTGTGTGCCAGGGATGGGGCAGGAGCACACAGCCAGCACTGGTGTGTACCAGGGATGGGGTCGGAAGGGCTGACAGCCTTGTTCTTGTGCAGTTTACATTCAAAGGAGAGGACACACGTACAAAATGAGGAACTGGTGGTGGTGGGGTAGTGGTGAGCATAGCTGCCCTCCAGGACAAGTAACTGAACTTTCTAGTATATGAGAAGGGTAAGGACTAAGGGGAAAAATTAGGCAGGAAAGGGAGCCCCAAGTGGGGGAGCTGGTGGCAAAGGCCTCATGGACACTGTGAGGTCTGGGTCAAAAACCTGCGGGAGAGAGGACACCGTAGGCACCTGGGCAGGAGTGTTGCTGGCGGAGTACAGCCGTGCAAAGGCCCTGAGGCAGGAGTACCAAGGCGGACAGTGAGCCAGCGCAGGGGAGTGTCAGGAAGGCAGGGCCCCCAGCATGTAGAACAGGTGTGGCACACAGTGGGGCTCCGTCAACGTTGTGGGAGGGAGGAAGGGGCTTGGACCTCGTGTCTCCTCCAAGCCGTCCTGCAGGGCCAGCACGGGCCTCCCTTCCAGACGAGGAGACTGAGGCAAGTGTGTTGAACAGCAGGATGGTCAAGGAGCAGGGATCTCGGGCCCAGCGCAGGGAAATGGGCTGCCTGGGGCCAGCAGGCTGGGTACTGGGTCTGCAGCTGCCCCCTGGCCCCATAACCCTGGGCAGGTGTGACTTGGGAGCGGCTTGCCTGGGGCGAAGCCCACCCTGCCCTTGGCCCACCTTCTGACCAGCCCTTTCTGTGTCCCAGCAACCTTGATGTGCGGTGGGGAGACGGCCTGAGCACAGGGGTCATCAGGAGGTCTGAGGAGGCGTCCGTCTGGAATGCCTGGCTCAGGCCCTGCCCACAGGGGATGCTGGGCAGTGAGTGCTGAGGTGGGTGGTTAGATGGTATCACCTTCCTCAGCATCCTCACACCATCCCTGGTGCCCATCGCATCCAAGGGCTGTGGGTGGCACACTTTCACACCCCCAGCCACCCCCAGGGAGGGGACAGGGACCCTCGAGTTCTGTGGCTGTGGCTGAGCCTATAGCAGCAGGGACTCCGGATGGGAAGCTGAGGGACCCCTCTCCATCTTCCCATTGTGCCACACAGGAAGTGACCTGTTGGGGGCCAAGTTGAGGGGTCATCAGCTGGGAAAGCCAAAGCCAGGCCAGCCTCAGGGCCTCACTCATGCTCTCTCTGGTCCGCAGGAGTGACCGGGCACGGTGGATCACAGCACTGAGACACAGAGAGAGACAGTGGCAAGGTCATGCCAACAAAGGAGGTGAGCTTAAGGACAGGGGCACATAGCCCCCTTCCCAGCCTGGAGAGAAGGGGCATGGTCCAGCCCTCTGTGCCCACCACAGCCTGAGTCCAGGGCAGCCTGCCCAGGTGAGGGGACCCAGGCATGCTCAGGGCCTTGCCCATCTGCAACGGGAGAGAACACGACTCCATAGCTGGGAAACTGAGGCTCGTGCCACAGGGCGGCTGGCCCTTAGGTCTGTCACCTTAGAGGCTGGGAGCTTTGGCCCAAAAAGTGGAAGCAGCCTGTCCCACAGCCTCTGGAGGGGCCGTCTTAGCCCGCAGTCAGCAAGCTGCCACCTCTCCGTGTCCGGGGACTCCCAGAGGCTCCCCAGCCCCACTGGGACTCAGCCCCTGGACATATAAGCTGGGAAGGGTGGACCCTGCCCGATCAGGGAGCTGCAGAGCTCCGGGGCCTCTCCCCTGGTGGTCCTGGTTCTGATGCCTCTTCCCCACCCCGCAGACCTGCTGCAGGTGGAGGTCACCAAGGCCTACTTTGCCAAGCAGGCGGACGAGGTGTCACTGCAGCAGGCGGACGTGGTCTTGGTCCTGGAGCAGGAGGACGGTAAGCGTGGCAGAGGCTTGCAGGCAGGGGGCAGGGGCTGAGGGAGTCTCTGGGGCCCAGAGGAGGGCCCTGTAAGCAGAGGTGGGCAGTAGGTAAGGCATGCATTCTTGGGGTTTTACTGAAGGCCCTGCAGCAGGCTCCCTCAGGGGCTCTCATGTCCCTATCAGCGGTCACAAGCTGGCTGGCTGGCAGTCTTCTCTCAGGCTGGGAGGAGAGGGGTTTCCACTACTCCCTGGGGGTGCCCCTCAGCCTGGGGGCGGTAGCTCCTTCCAGGGAGGAAGGAGCCCTCAACCTCCTTCCCTGTGACCACACCATGAACAAAAGTGCTAATGCCCAAGCCCGTCACTGGTCACCTCTGTCCCATTTCTCCTGTGTGGCTGAAGGTCTAGTGTTTGACTGCCTGCCTTGGCGTCTTCTGGAGCCGCAGCTCAGGAGCTCTGGGGGTGCCACCATCCAGAGCAGGCCCCTCTCACCACCCCTTCTTCTGCTCAGGCTGGCTGTACGGCGAGCGGCTGCGGGACGGGGAGACAGGCTGGTTCCCCGAAGCCTTTGCCCGCTCCATCACCAGCCGCGTGGCCGTGGAGGACAATGTGCGTAGAATGGAGCGGCTGCGCATGGAGACAGATGTGTAGACAGTCATTCAGCACCTTGGGGGCTGCAGCTGTGGACTAGCTAGTGCCTGGGGTTCAAGGAGCACCTGGCTTGTCCCAAGGGCCCTGATGGTGCCTGTGTCTTCCCCGAGGCCCCTCCCCCGGACACTTCACAGGAAAGGTCCACACTGCCCTCCTCGGAGGCACTCCCAGGCGATCAAGGGGCAGGCCACGCCAGGTCTGACCTCTGCAAGTCCAGCTGGAAGAGCCCACCTGGGCCCCACCACCGTTTCCATCCCCCCACCCCAAGCTCCCAGCTCCTAGCTGCCCAGGGTGTGGCCTTCCTGGCCCTGTACCCCATGCATTCCCCAGGGGGTTATGCTAACATGGGGTGATCAGAGAGGACAATGTGGGGCCCATGCCCTTCTGCTCCCCCAACCTGTGTGGTACAAGGAGCCCCCATCCCCACCCCCGTGGTGCCCAGGGCTGCTCCATCGTCCAAGAGGAGGGCCAGCCAGGGAGGGGGCCTGCAAGGCCAGCCTGGTAATTGTATCTTTGAGGTTTCCAAATAGAGTATTTCTTTAAAACCTGGATTTCCACAGTCACTCGGAGCGAGGCAAAGGCCACAGCCACGTGTGTCTCCCAGTCCGGGCCAGGACAGGCTCCTGTATGGGCTCACCTGGGTGCTGGGTGCCCTGGGCTGGGACTGGGCCTCTATATGGAGTCATCCCAGTGCTGGGTGCCCCAGGCCGGGACTGGCACCCCTTCATGTCTGCCCGGAACTTGCCCCTGGCTCTGGCCTACCCGTCACCTATCACATCACCACAGGCAGGGCCTACATGCGTGGTATGAGGACCGAAGGCTGACCAGGGGGCCTCATGGCCTCCCCTCCCAGGACCCCTACCCAGGACCCCCTGGGACCTGCAGGTGGGGAGGCAGTTGGGCTTGCACCTGGAGTTGGTCAGCAGCCTGGTCTGGGGAAGAGCTTCCCAGGAGAGATGGCATTTGTGCCTGGGGGCGGGGGAAGCTGCTGGGCCAGGCTAGGGAAGACTGGGGCTTGCCATCCCAGGCAGCACCCACCCACCCTTCCTGCCCTTTGCCAAAGCTCCTGCCCTTTTTCAGCGTGGACAGCGCTGTGGTTGGGTAGAGGTGCCCAGCATACTACTGAGAGCTCTCCCAGATCCTCTGCATCACAAGGTGGGGCCCTGCTTCTGTTTTGAAATCCAGGGGTGCATCTCCCCACTGCCAACCTGAAGTGGGTTTGGCTGTTGGACCCTGCTAAGGAGGAAGGAGGGAAGACTGCTGTGGGAGTGGTTGGGGTGGTGGGTGGAGCAAAGGGGGTGGGGCTTCTCTGAACCCCGCCCACGGGGCCAGGTGCCTTAGGACAGCAGCACCAAGAAGGAGGGGTGGTGGCTCCTGTCCCCAAGACCTCCAAGCCTGTCGCAGAGGCTGCAGTCTGGCTCATAGCGGCACAGAGGTGGCTGGACTGTGGTCTGAGCGGCTGTGCAGGATGGGGCGGGGCAAGGTCTCAGGAAGAGGCGTGGTCCGGGGTTGCGTCCCAGAGACGAGGCCCAACCCCACCGACTCCCCCAGGCAGAAAATAGAAGGGGATCCCGGCCTCAGTTTCCCCGCTTGGGCTGGTTATGCCTTGCTCTTCTCCCAGAGCGCAGGCTGACTGACAGCAAGGCGAGGGGAGAAGGGCGTCTGGCAGGAGCGGGCAAACAGCACTTTGTGTAAACCAGCTGCCATTGTAACCCAGGGGCTTCGGTCTGACCGCTGCCTTGTAGCTCCTGGGGAGCCCTCCATCCATTCTCAACCAAGTACCCTTCTAGGACGTTTTCAGTCAATGGAACTGAGTTGATTCGGCAAGCCTCGGAGGAAAGGCCACTGACTGCAGCCACTGGTCGGAATCTGCCCCGTCCTCATTTGAGTGACCTTGGGCAGGACCCTCTAAGCTCCAGTGTCCTAGTCTGCTAAGTGGGGAAGAGTCTCTTCCTCATATGCAATGGGTTTAAAATGCTTAGCCTGGAGGACAGTGGCGGGGGGAGGGGGCTGTGGGGATAGCTGTGGGGCCCTCGGGAGCACCCAGAGGACCCACAGCAGTGCCTGTGCCCAGTGCTGGGCCCTGGTGGACTAGGCATGGCTGAGCGATGCCCAGATGTCCATCCACCCCACCCCACCCCCCGGGCCTTTCTGACCAGCTCGGGAGCACTTCAGTGGATGGGTGTCTGCAGGGCCATGGGGATCAGGGGAAGCCAGGGCTGGTGTGGAGGCTGAGGCTCGGAGTGAATGAGAAGAGCCAGATCCTCACCCTCCCCTCCCCACAGAGATGGCCTGAGCAGGAAGAGCAGCCTCCTGGGGAAGGGGAACAAGTGTGGGCGGGTCGTGGAGACACGGGTGCCAAGCATAGATGACCAGGATAAATGTCACAGGCTGGACAGGCCACCCACCCCTTCCTGGGGAGGGGGTGTGAGGTACAGTGTCGAGCCATCACCAAGGGGGCCCAGAGCCCGTGGGGGCCTCAGTGAGCACTCCCCTTAACCCACCCCTCCCTTCACCACCACCCCCCACCCCATCCACCTCCATGTGTTTGATGTGCTTCCTCAAACACCTGGGTGTCCTTGTAAAAAAATAGTGTCCTTGGCTGGGGTGGGGGAGTAGTTTTCATAAAGGTGCGTGCTGTAGACTTCATCCTAATTTCTATCTCACTCAACATGGTTTTTAGGACCTACCAGTGCTACTACTCCATACACATCTGGTTCATTTTTTCTGATCACTCCAGAACATTCCGCCACCATGTGCATTCACTGCACTTGTCGATTCTGCTGGGTTGTCCCCAACTCCCTCTGCATGGGGGCCAGCGTCCTTGGGCACCCCCTGGTGTCCAGGAGTGGCATTGCTGGTGGGTCCTCAGGGCAAAGGCATTAATGCAGCCCCATTGCTCTGGGGCTGACCACTGTCATTCCCCACAGTGCCTGAGGGCTCCTGTCTTCTCAGCCTCACTCAGGACCCATGACTCTCCAACTGTTGTCCCTGGTCTTAGGGAGGCTATGTCCTGTGAACACTCACATCCTCACCTCTCTCTCTCCTTGTGGATTTGTCACCATCCTTCCTCGTTCTTGATATCAAACCCTTGCCCATTTAGACATCACAGATTGCTCCTTCCGGGTGTCCCCTGTGAACTCTGTCAGGGGTTCTTTGATGGAACAGACTGGAATTGCATCAGATTTAAAGACTGACTAGAAGTGACTTTATTACAGTGTCAAATGGTCCTCCCTAACACTGGTCAAAGGAGCTCTGGTGGCCCAATGGTTAAGCACTCAGCTGCTAACCAAAAGATCAGTGGTTCAAAGTCAATAGCCGCCCTTCAGGAGAACGATGTGGCAGTCTACTTCCATAAAGATTACAGCCTTGGAAACTCTATGGGGCAGTTCTACTCTGTCCTGTAAGGTCGCTATGAATTGGAATCAAGTTGACGGCAAAGGATTTTGTGTTTTGGCTTAATGCTGGTCAGCCACTCCATTTGCTCAGGCCTTCTTCCAGGTCTATGAAAGTTCTATGAAGGTCTCGTGCTTTCTTTTGCCAGATAAACTCCCAAGATACTTTCTGGGTTTGGTTGCCATTTTGGATGGTATCTTATTCTGTGTTCTGCCTGTAGTTGGTTATTGCTGGTGTTGAAGAACTATTGATTTTATAGGTTAATCTTTATCTATCAACCTTGCTGAATTCTTATGAGACATAATAATGTCTGCAGACCCTTTTGGGTTTTCTACAGAGATAACCATATCCCTTTCAAAACATGATAGATTTCTCTCTTCGCCCTGGATCTTTGTAGCTCTTGTTTGTTTTCCTTATAGTATTGACCAGGGCCTTCAGAACTCTTCGGGGCAGGGAGTGATAATGAGACATCTTCTGAGTCTTGATTTTTGTTGTTGTTAGCTGCTGTCCAGTTGGCCCCCAACTCATGGCAACCCCATGAACAACTGCACAAAACGCCTGGTCTTGCATCATCCCTATGACTGGTTATGGATCAAACTGTTGTGATCCATAGGGTTTTCATTGGCTAATTTTCAGAAGTAGCTTGCTGGAACTTTCTTCCTAGTGTTAGTCTGGAAGCTCCACTGAAACCCGTTCAGCATCATAGCAACACGCAAGCCTCCACTGACAGACGGGTAGTGGCTGCGCATGAGGTGCAATGGTAGGACATCAAACCTGGGTCTCCTGCATGGAAGCTGAGAATTCTACACTGAAGCACTGCTGTCCCCACTCTTGATCGTTACGGAAATTAATTTATTCATTCAACAAATGTTTGCGTCCCTACCTAATAGGGTCCCATTCCAGGTGGTCACATAGTGAAGCAAGCAAAGCCCTTGGCTGTCCACATTTTGTGCCATAATGGGAAAGGACAGGATACAGGATATAATATTAGGGCTGTGAAGAAAATTAATGTGGAGCAGGAGAGACAGCAGCACCGGATGATATTTAATTAGGGGTCACAGAAGGCATCTCTTAAGATGGTATCATTTAAACAGAGACTTGAATTCATTTGTTTCTCACTCCACAGGATGTTTACAGTAGATTCTTGCCTTTAACCATCAAGAAAGATCCTTTCTGTACCCAGTTTTCCAAGAATTTGTATCCTAAACAGGCACTGAACTCTATTGAATACTCCTGCTTCTATCAAGACAAATCATCAGATTTCTCTTCTCATCCAGGTACATAGACACATTTTCTGAGGTTAAACTGTCCTTGTATTCGGATCATTCAAGACTGATCAAGTTGATATTTTTAAATATTTTTTTATTTGAATAGCTGATTTTTTATTTAGGATTTCTGCATACACAAACTGAGTCTGTAATTTTTTGTTGTTGTTGTTGTTGTACTGTCCTCACCCAGTTTTAGGATCCAGATCATCCCAGTCTCATTCAATGAGTTGACCTGCCTTCCCACTACTTAAAGTTTCTGGAACAATTCATAATAGATAAGATCAGGAGTGTTTTGAGAGTCTGGCACAACCACCTGTATAAACATCTGTACCCTAGGATTACTGGGGTAGGGGAGAAGTGGAGGTCTGTGATTACTAGTTGCATTTACTTATTGGTTTATTAGAATTTATTTCTATTCACACCAGTCCTAGCATTTTATATTTTTCCAGAAATTCACCCATTTTTCTAAGTTGTCAAAGTTATTCGCATACCGTTGTTCGTAATAGTCCTTTTTATGTTTTCATCTTGTATCTGTAGTTAATTCTCAGTTCTTCTCATTTCATTTTTTTTTCACCGTCAGTCTTGCTAATGTTTTGTCTTTCTTATTAATCTTCAAGGAAGCAGCTTTTGGTTTTGTTCTTTCATTATGCTGAAAAGAATGTATACCCTCCATTGGCTGAGTATAAAGTTTAATATAAAACCAGAAAGCCAAACCCGTTGCCATCGAGTTGATTCCAACCCATAGTGACCCTATAAGACAGAGTAGAACTGCCCCATAGGATTTCCAAGGTGCGGATGGTGGATTTGAACTGCTGACCTTTTGGTCGGCAGCCGAGCTCTTAACCACTGTGCCACCAGGGCTTCATAAAGTTTACATATATACATATATATGGTGCACGTATGTTAAAGCTTATTCAAACTTTATCATTGCTTACATCTTGTTTGCTTAACATACTCGTTTTTGTAAAAAGCACGTTGAAATCACCACTTATCATTATTCACTTCTACCTGTTATGTCCATCATTGTTTTACATATTTTTGAGACCCTGTTGTTATGTATATATAGATTTATATACAGCAACTTATGATGCTTTCCAACTTGAAATATTAAAACTCCAACCCCAACTTTTATTTATATTTCTATCCATTTAAATATGTCTTTTATAGATATTATACTGATAGATTATTTTTAATGCTGTCTAGGGATCTGTCTTTTGATCATTAAAACATCTGTAAACCCTTCCATTTATTGTAATTACTACTAGAGTTTGTTGACCTGTTTTCTTTTTATTATGCTTTATTTTTCCTCCGTTTCTGCCTTCCATTGAATAGATCAAATTTCCTCCAGATGGTTTAAAAGTTAAACATCCTACCAGTATTCTTGATGTGGTTAAAAAACCAAAAGCACAAACCAGTTGCCATCTAGTCGATCCCAACTCATGGCAACCCCATGTGTTACGGAGTAGAACTGCTCCATAGGGTTTTATTGGCTGTAATCTTTATGGAAGCAGATTGCTGTTGTTAGGTGCTATTGAGTCAGTTCAAACTCAGCGACCCTCTGTACTACGGAAGGAAACACTGCCCAGTCCTGCACCATCCTCACAATCGTTGTTATGCTTGAGCCTATTGTTGCAGCCACCACGTCACTCCGTCTCATTGAGGGTCTTCCTCTTTTTCACTGACCCTCCAGTTTACCAAGCACGATATCCTTCTCCAGGGACTGGTCCTTCTTGATAACATGTCCAAAGTATGTGAGACGAAGTCTTGCCATCCTTGCTTCTAATGAGCATTCTGGCTGTAAGCAGATGGGCAAGCCTTTCTTCCACAGTGCCACTGGGTGGGTTCGAATCGCCAGCCTCTAGGTTAGCAGCTGCTCACAAATCACTTACATTGTGGTGGTTACGGCTACATATTCAATTAAGATCTGCACTTACGTTTATTTGCCTTATCACTTTCTGTAGCTTATCCTGGTCTCTTTCTTTCACCAAACAGGACAAAGGCCTTAGCACATCCCCTCCTCCACAGTGGTGTTATCTGTAGTTTCAGTGGTGGATCAACACCAGTATTTTGATTTTCTTAATTACTATGTGGGGAATGTGGGGAATAAATACCCCACAGCACCCTCCTGGATTTCTTTCCCTTCTTGGTGAATAACTTGCCCTAAGAGCATTTTCAAAGACGCTTTTTGTGTGGGAGACCTAAGAATATCTTTATTTGACTTAGCACTTCAACGATAGTTTAGCTGAATATAAAATTCAAGTTTCACAATTTTTTTCTTTCACACTCTGAAAACAGAAAATGCCTGTTTCTTGCTTTCAGTGTTTCTCTTGTAGAGTCTAATGTCAACACAATTCCTGTTCCTCTTTTTCTCTGGGACTTTTAGAATTTTTCTTTGTCCTTGATGTTCTTCAAGTTCTTTACACTGTGGCTTTTTCTTATCTCTCGTGTTCTGCACTTTGAACCCTTCCATCTGAGATTGTTCACCTTGAAATCCAATAACTTCTTGTTCTATTGCTTCATGTCAGTTGTTTTTCCTTCTCTTTTTCTGAGCTTCTATTAGAAGATTAAGGAGCCCTGGAGGTGCACTCGGCTGCTAACTGAAAGGTCGGTGGTTTGAACCCACCAGCTGCTCCATGGGAGAAAGATGTGGCAGCCTGCTTCCATAAAGATTACAGCCTTAGAAACTGTATGGGACAGTTCTAATCTGTCCTGTAGAGTAGCTATGAGTCAGAATCAACTCGACGGCAAAGGGTTTGTTTTTTTAATTAGAAGATTAGGGGATGGAGCCCTGGTGGCGCAGTGATTAACAGCGCAGGCTGTTAACCAAAAGGTCAGCAGTTCAGATCCACCAGCTGCTCCTTGGAAACCCTATGAGGCAGTTCTACTCTGTCCTATAGGGTGACTAAGAGTTGGAATTGACTCAGTGGCAACGGGTTTGGTTTTTGGTTTTGGTTAGTGGTTCAGTGGTAGAATTATTGCCTTCCATGCAGGAAACATGGGTTTGAGTCCCAGCCAATGCATCTCATGCAGAGCCACCATCTATCTGTCAGTGGAGGCCTGCGTATTGTTATGATGCTGAGCAGGTTTCAGCCCAGCTTCCAGACTAAAACAGGTTAGGCAGGAAGGCCTGGCAATCCACTTCCAAAACTCAGCCAATAAAAAGCCCATGGATAACAAGGGTCTGATCTGCAACCGATCATGGGGACAGTGCAGGACCGGGTGGCAGTTCTTTCTGTTGTGCATGGGGTCGCCATGAGTTGGGGGCTGACTCAACAGCAGCTAACAACAACATTAGAAGATGAATGTTGGCACTTCTCTTATCCATTTCTATTCACTTTTCCTTTGTATTTTCCATCTCTTTTGCTTTCCTGCTGCCTCCTGAGTGCGTCCTGAGCTGGAAATTCCATTATTTGGTTGTATCCATTCAACCCACCCATCATGCTCTTCTTTCAACTTGTGCATTTTCCACACTCAGTCTTTACTGCTGGTTCTTCTTTGACTGCTTGTTCTGCCTTCACATTACCATTCCACCACACCTTACCCTTTCTGAGATATGGATTATGTGTAAAGTTTTAATGTGGTGGTCCATTCATTTGACTTCCTCTAACATGGAGTGCTCATGTTTTATTTGTTGTTTAAGTGCTTGAGCTTGTTAGTTGTTGTTGTTAAGTGCCATCAGCTCAGCTCCAACTCACAGCGACCCTATGTATAACAGAACGAAATGTTGCCAAGTCCTGTGCCTTCCTCATAATAGTAGGTACGTTTGAGCCCGTTGTTGCAGCCACTGTGTCAGTCCGTCTCATTGAGGGTCTTCCTCTTTTTCGCTGACTTTCCACTTTACCAAGCATGATGTCTTTCTGCAGGGACTAGTACCTCCTGATAACATGTCCAAAGTATGCAAGACGAAGTCTTGCCATCCTCACTTGTAAGGAGCATTCTGGCTGTACTTCTTCCAAGACAGATTTGTTTGTTCTTCTGGCAGTCCACGGTATATTCAATATTCTTCACCAACACCACAATTCAAATGCATCAGTTCTTCTTTAGTCAAAGATGTCACTTCGATGACTAAGGGGCACCTGACCCAAGCCATGGTCTTTTCAGTCACCTCATTTGCATGTGAAAGCTGAGCTCGGTGGGGCCCTCTTTATTTTTCTGGTAATATTCTATGCCTTTAGGAGTATCAGCTACCTAGGCAGGTATTGTGTGGAAAGGAGAGGGGGCTACAGTCCAGACCCTAAGGAGGCTTCTTCAGGTGAGAGGTGGGGGAAGAGCCTCAGGGCAAAGTCTCTACTGTTACCACCTGGGCTCCACCCTCTCCATGGCCCCCTCAGAACAATCTCCTTGGCCTCTGCTGTGGGCACCACCTTTTTCCCAGGTGGTATCTGCCTCAGCCCATGAGCACCACGCCCCCACAAGTGGCCAGCCAGGCCTGTTCCCCATCCAGCTTCGGGGCCCCTGAAGTCTTCTCACCACTGCTTTCCCCTGTGATGGGGTACAGGTTTAAGGCCAGCTCAGCTGAAAGCATCTCCCGCCCAGGCTGCCCCCGCACCAGTCCTGCCCTCAGGCCCAGCCCTCCTCCCCTCCCAGCCACTCTTCCCACACACAGGCCCTGGGACTCGCACTGTCTGTGTCTTGGGACAACCCAGCATGAGCAGATTTAGTAGATCCATCCACCTCATCTCGAACAGCCCTAGCGTTTGTCTCCACAGCACCAGGAACAAGGATAAGCCCCAGCTTTACTGTGGCACTCCCCACCCCGCAAAGGGAGGAGCAAGGGCCAAAAGCAGGGTTGCTCACATAATCAGCAAACACAGAGGCCCAAAGGAAGCTGCTGCTCCTTTAACTTGGTGGGTTTTACATGGTAGCCAAGCTGGTCACTTGGATACCCCAAGGCTTGCAGTCCTGAGTCAGGGCTTCCTGGGATGGGCCAGGAGACTGGGCAACCTTCCAGGGGCACAGAGGGCAGGTACCACTGCCCATAAATACCTTTACATAAATACGGGGTGGGCTATATTTCCAGGTAAACGTCGGGCCAAGCTGCAGCAGTCCAAGGCCTAGCACCAGCTGAACCTGCTCTGACGGCAGGGCCACACCTGCCCCCACACCTGCCTTCAGTCCTGACCAGGGCCGGGCCAGGCAGGGAGGGTCTGTGCAGGGCGGGGCAGGGCCTCCTCAGCCCCAGCATGCTGAGCGCCTGGTGTGGTCACAGGCCTGTCCACTTGCTGGACCCAGGCCAGGCCAGGTAGGGCCTCCCTGCCCAGATGGGTATCCCTCCTCGGAGCAGGTGGCTACATCTGTCCACAGTCCTCCGGAGAGAAGGTGCTTATGCTGCTGAGGGCGGAGCCGGAGTCCTGGGTCCATGGAGCACCCTCAGCCATCACCAAAGCCCCTGGGTCGCCTCGGCCGGAGTACGGGAGGCGGAGTCTCAGCCAGTGCTGCCTCAGAACTACTGGTTCACTGCTGCCCTGTCGCTGAGCCTGGATGATGGGCTGTGGGAGGCTGGGCGTGTGGCTGCTGTGGGGTCGAGGGGAAAGGAGGGTGTCAGCCCCGGGCTGGGGTCCGGGCCCGCCTCCCCTTCCTCCCCACCTCCACCTGCCCAGCCCTGGCCCTGCCCTCATCTCTGAGGTCCAAATTCTGGGGTTCCCAGGGCAGTGGATGCCTACCATTCCACAGAGCCCAGGTTACGGATAAATGCTCCCCTTGGCCTTAGTCATAAAGCCACCTCCTGGCACATGTCAGCCTCACCCAATGATGTGAGCATTCCCCATCCCTTTACCTGGGCCCAGGCCTGGGGACAGGCTTTCCAGGAGCTGGGGGGACCCACCTGCAGGGGGACAGACAGCAGCTCATGTCAGTGCCCCCCACCCTTGGGTGGGTAGCAGTAAAGGGACAACAAAGCCTAACCCCACCCAGAGCCTACAGGGACCCCCACACAGCACAGCCTCTTCCCTCATTCTCATTCCTGCTCATGCAGCGGGGCCCCCCTCCCCAAATGAAACCTCCACCCTGACCTACCCAGGCAGCATGGGGGGATCGGGAGGCTGGGCTTTGGGGCTGGGAGAGGAGGGGCCTTGCCTGGGGCCACACCTGGGCAGGGGGCAGGGCCCAGGACTCCCGACAGCTGTGGAGGCCCTGCCCATGGGACCTTGCTGGCAAAACAGTGGGCAGCCGTCAGAGACAGGCGGGGCAGGGTCTCAAGGGTAGCCTGGACTTACCCAGCCCTGAGGCAGCCCCCACAGGGCTTTTTAGCAGGCACAAGGGAGGGCACTGGGCTCAAGGAGGGCATGGTGGGGCAGATGCCCCCTAATTCACACTAGCCACAAGACCCAGGCCTCTCTTCCTGGCCCACCAGGCCTCAGGTGGGAGGAGGGGGCCTGGCTTCTGAGACCTCCAGCTAAATTCCAGCATTGTGCCCTATGCCCTGCTCAGGTGCACTCTGGGTCAGCTTGTGCCGCAGTACCGCACTTGACCACTAGATGCCAACATGGTCAGCGCTATGTCCCAAGCACAACAGCCCTCAAGTTGAAGCCTCAGCACAGGGCTGTGGGAGGTGGGATCCCTTCCAATCCCTTCCCACAGCTCTTAACAGTTTGGGGCCATGGCTGCCTTGGAGAGGCTCAGAAAGATGCACACACACATAATACTGGGCCCATGATTGGGGCCGCAAGCTGAAGACTCCAGGTCTGGAACCTGCTCACAGCCACACTCAGAGCCCTCTGCCTGACTCCTACCCTCATCCCTATCTGCACGTCTGTGCCACACAGGACCCAAGGCTGGCCTTTGCCTCCCTCCACAGAGATGCCTTCCCAACCTCCTGCACCTGGAGGAGCGACCAGCATGCCCCAGAGGGGCAGGGGCTGGCCAGAGGGAGCAGGGGGCACCACTGAGCTCTGCCTGCTGACGGAAAGTTTCAGCAGAACCTCGAAGAGCTTAAAGGCCAAGGGGGCTATCACTGCCACCTTCCCAGACTCAGTGCATTCATGCATGTTTGCATATGCCCTGGTGCACACACACTGGTGTATACATGCAACGGATTCACATGCACACAGGGGTGCAGACACATGTACTATAGTACACACTAGCACACACACATGCACATTTGCATACACGCACTGTTGCACACACATGCAGGGCAGTGACAGGAGTGGTGGTGTGCCCACGCTGGGTTAAGTGGCTACAAGGCTCATGCGTGCCCGCACTGGATGCGAGCAGGGATGGTTACGCATCCGGTGCTGGAATGCTTACCTACTCAGTCCTTGGCCGGGGGCAGGGGGCGGGGGAGGTACAGAGTCAGGGCAGGGCTGGGGCCAGGGCATAGTGTCCCCCCCACCCAGGGCTCCCCTCACCTTCTCGGCACGTGGGCCCTGTGTAGCCATCCACGCAGTGGCACTGCCCGCTGACAGGGTCACAGTCAGCCCCGCCCCCACAATCACAATGCAGGGCACAGCCGGGTCCGAAATGCCCCCCTGTGCACTCTGCAGGGCGGGAGAGAGAGACCAGCTGTGAGTGAACCCTACCTGCCCAGGCATGGTCGTTGGGGGGCTAGCATCTCTTGGGTCACTCAGAAGTATGACAACCTACTCTGTCTTCCCCCGCAGTGGCCCCATGATCTCTTGTGTGGGAAAGCGCCAGACCCAGGTGGACAGGCGCCCAGAGTCACAGTCCCATGTCCCCCCCAGCTGGCAAAGGGGTCCGGCAGTCAGTGATGCTCCTTCCCAGGACACAAGGGGGCTGGTGTCCACCCCGTGCAGGAGCAACTCCTCCCTCCCTCAGGGTGGGCCTCCCAAGTCAGGCCCACCAGGAAGGTTTCTTCTCACCAATGACCACAGTCCCCATGCCAAGAGAGGCCCTCTCCGGGCCCCTGGGCAGCCAGAGGGCAGGTATGACCTTGAATAGCACCCAGGAGGAGCTATGCATGGAACCCGAAAGTCTGCTCCCTCTTCCTGCCCACCCCCACCCCCCACCCCCTGCTCAGGGCCACAGAGGGAGTGAGGCAGGACACGGGAGGCTACAGGGGGCCTGGGCAGGTGCAGTACCAGCAGGCAGAGGGCACAGGTAGGACTCATCCAGTGCAAATGATACTCATCCCTGAAAGAGACCCGCCCCATGGCCCACTCCTGCACAGACCCCAGACTCACCAAGGTCACAGGTGGTTCCCATGTGCCCAGGCGGGCAGAGGCAGAGGCCGGTGACAGGGTTGCAGGGTGCTCCCCCCTCGCAAGCACACCGCTGCCGACAGCCCTCCCCGAAGGAGCCCGGCTCGCACCCTGTAGGGGCCAGTGGGCTCAGCTCCATCGACTGGCACCAGATTGGGTGGGGCCAGGGCGAGGCAGGGTGGGGAAGGGGAGTGTGGGAGAGGGCCTGTGCAGGCAGGGGGCACTGAGCACTCACTCTGCTGACAGGACTGGCCCTGGAAGCCGGCAGGGCAGAGGCACTGGCCAGTGATGGGGTGGCAGGGGGCTCCATGCTGACACTGGCATGCCTCCCGGCAGCCGGCCCCATGGAAGCCCGGGGGACAAGCTGAGGGAAGACCCAGTTAGAGCTTGGCAAGAGGAGGAAGTGGCAGAAACCTCCCAGCAACTCTTTGGCCTTGTCCCAGCGTCAGTTTACCCGGAAGGGGAAAAGGCCACTCATGAGAAGCCCCCTCCTTCGCTCCTGCCCCCCATCTCCCTGGCTCCCCGTCCTCAGGGAGGTGCTCAGGGCAGAAAAGGTGCAAGTATCGGACCCGGGGGAGAACCAGGCTCCTGGCCAGGGAGCTCTTGCTGGGAGTCTCAGACCTGCTTTCACTGGGCCCTGGGAGGGATGACTCAGGAAATCAGTCACTGTCATGGCCAAAGACTGCCCAGATCCCCCACAGGGAGCAGCAAACAGCCTTCCAGCAGCCCAGCTGGCTTGGAGAGTCCCGGCACCCCCACTCACGGTGCTCGCAGGCAGGGCCGTAGAAGCCGGGACTGCAGTGGCAGGCCCCCGTGGCGGGCTCGCAGGTAGCGCCATTGTGGCAGGAGCACTCCAGGCGGCAGGCAGCACCGTAGCGCCCAGGTGGGCAGGCTGGGGACAGGGTGGGCAGGTGAGCCTCCCTCACAGAGGTGGAAGAACAGGGCTCAAGGCTCAGTCCCTCTGCACCTGGGCAGGTTACTGGACCTGGTCCAAATGACCCCGAATCTCGGCCCACCCTATGGGAGTCCAGGGTCCCCCAGAGGCCAGGGGCCCATGCCCCCTCTGGAGCCCAGGCCTCTCCCAGCCTGGGCACAGTCCCCTCCCCTCAGCCGGGCACTCACCCTGCTCACAGTGCAGCCCTGTCCAGCCCAGGCTGCAGGCACAGCTGCCATTGGCAGGGTGGCACAGACCCCCGTTTCTGCAGAGGCACACGCTCTCACAGCCCATGCCAAAATGGTTCTTGGGGCAGCCTATGAGTGAAGGAGGCATGCTCAGAGCTCAGCCCAGGATGGGACATGCCCCACAAGGTCCCACATTCACTTAACACGTGTCCCTTGTGGCCCCCTCCCCATGCCAGTCTGCCTCAGGCCAACATGTGCTGGGAGGAGCACCACCCTTCCCCTGCAAATGCCCAGCCAGGACAAAGCAAACCAGACACTTGCTCCTCAGATGGGACTCCAGGGGCTGCAAGCACCAATCCCTCTGCTAGGGGATGCGGGGCTCTGGGTGGGAGCCTGTCCAGCTCCACCAGCCACAGGGACTCAGCAGGCCACTGCTGGCCTGAGCCTTCAGGCCTGTCGGTTAAGGCCAGGTGTAGGGGCTGTCAATGCTCCATAGTACTACACATACCTTCCCAGGTGGGCTCAGGCCACCTACCCCCCAGGGCCACTTGGGGAATAAACTGAGGGATTGGGTTGACCACTAGGCCGCCCCCTCCCAGCAGTGCCCTCTGCACAGTGGACCCCCACCCCCCCACCGTTCCTGGCGGGCACTCACCGTGCTCACAGTGGGCGCCAGTTCTCCCGGGGGGGCAGGTGCAGGCGCCCGTCACGGGGTCACAGGCCACTCCCCCCCAACACTCACACATGTGGACACAGCCAGGCCCAAAATGGCCCTGTGGGCAGGCTGCCAAGGGAGACAAGTGAGGGTGCCACTCTGGCCCGGCCAGCCAGCTGGCTCCTCGTTCTCTCCCCAGAGCGGGGATGAGGGGGTGGGGGACCATTGCCCTAGACAGAGTTGCTGCCGACTCCCATGCCCCTCTCCCACCCTCCCCTACACCTACGGCTCTGCTGGGGCCACCTAGGCCTGCTCTGTGTCATCTACTGCTGCCCGCCCCCCACCCCACTAACCTGCATGGCCAGCCCAGATTCCACCCGGGGACCATCCCTATGACTCAGGAAAGGGCCCTTTTCTCAGCAGAATGCTTGGCCGCAGATGCAGGTGGGGGCAGAGCTGGCCAGCAGTCTCCCCAGGGGGCCAGTGGGGGCAACACCCAGGGCTGCAGCCACCTCCTGCCACCTCTTCCTGAGGCCGGCAGAGGTGCATGGAGAGCACCCGTCCCTGCCCCAGCCCCCCACCCTGCCCCTGCCCCAACCCCCCACTCCTGTCCCAGCCACTCACTAAGGCTGCAGTCGGCCCCCAGAAACCCAGCGGGGCAGTGGCAGGCACCCGTGGCCGCATCACAGGAGCCACTGTTGTGGCATACACACTGCTGCTCACAGCCCGGCCCGAACCACCCAGGTGGGCAGCCTGTGGGAGAGGGCCAGCTGCCGGGGCTGGGGTGGACACTGCCCCCAGCGCCCCCAAGGTCAGTCCAGCAGCCCCACAAGGTGACACCACTCCCCAGCACCCCAGGGGAATGACCAGCGGCCTCGTGAGGCCCCCGCACATCCCACTGCCCCCTCGGAGAAGGGCCTCTGCAGACTCGGCCAGTGAGGTGAGTATGGGATGGCCACAGGGCAGCAGGAGCACTCACGTTGCTGGCAGCCACTGCCATGGTAGCCAGCCACACACATGCAGGTCCCCAGGATGGGGTCACAGGCCTGGTTCTCACTGGGACACTGGCATCTTTGGGCACAGTCTTTTCCAAAGGTGCCAGGCGGGCAGGCTAGCGGCAGGTAGGAAGGACATCAGTCCTGACCACAGCCGGGGTCACCCACCCTCTCCAGAAGTTCCCCCCTTCCCACGGCAGGAGGTTCTGGGGTGCAGCTTAGGGGCCCATATGGCCTAAAACTACCAAGCCCTCGGCCCACCCACCCACCTACCCTGCTCACAGCTGGGCCCAGTGAAGCCAGGGGGACAGCCACACTCCCCACTGACATGGTGGCAGGCAGCATCTGGTGGGCAGTGGCAGCGCTGGGCACAGGCCTCTCCAAACCAGCCAGGTGGGCAGGCTGCAAGGAGGGCATGGACTGAGGGGCTTCTGGGAGGCAGGGGCGGGGGACCCAGGGGCAGAGCAGGCCTGGGACCATCCCTGCATGGAGAAGTACCCTCTGAGAGCTGCGCTCAATGCTGGTGACAGGTGGGCCTGTGCTCACCACTCACACCTCGTGCCTCTCCATCTGGGGTCAGAGCAGGCCTGGAGCCGTCTCTGTGAGGAGGACGCCCCAACCCCAGGGTGACCAGGTGGCCCTGTGCTCACCGCTCTCACACTTCGCACCCCTCCATCCCGGGGGGCAGAGGCAGGTGCCTGTGACACGGTGGCAGGGGGCTCCCCGCCGGCAGGCGCACCGCTCCTGACAACCAGCCCCAAAGCTGCCCTCGGTGCAGGCTGCCGAAAGGAGGTGGGGGAGGGCGCTGAGACAGGTACTGCCCCTGCCCCCCTACCCCCGCATTTCACACATCCCCGGAAGGACTGGACCTGAGGTCAAATGTGCATACCGCGCCAGGCAAAGAAGCCCTACCCCCATCAGGCTGCCTTTCTGGGTGGGGACCCTTCCATGGGGACCCTTGGCAGCTCAGCAGACAGCCACCCCTACCAGCCCCCTCTGTGAGCCCCCTCACTTCCACGGCCTCAGCCCTGGAGTGGGCCCCCGCCCCCCTCACTCACGGCTCTGGCACCTGTCCCCACCCCAGCCAGCCAGGCAGAGGCAGGTGCCCGTGCGGGGGTTGCAGAGCCCCCCGTTGAGGCAGTCGCAGCTGTACTGGCAGCCGGCCCCGAAGCGCCCAGGGAGACACTCTGCAGGAGTGGGAAACAGCGTGAGTGTCCCCCAGGCCTCTGGGACCCTGCCCACGCTTCCTGCCCCCAGAGCCCTGGAGACCACACTCAGAAGGAGACGTGACAGGGCTGGTCATCCTGCAGGCCCACGGCCACACCCAGGACACTGCCACTGACCAGGGAGCCTCCTAGGCCGGGGCAGATTGGGATGCAGCCCTGGCTCCCACAAACCCCCAGAGGGCCCCCCTTGGCCCACTGCACTCACCCTGCTCACAGGCTGAGCCAGCCCAGCCCTCAGGGCACGAGCAGTGGCCTGAGACAGGGTCACAGGTGCCTCCATTCTGACAGACGCAGGGGCGCTGGCAGTCCTCACCGTACAAGCCTTCGGGGCAGGCTGGGAGGGGAGGGGGCCACTGCAGCATCAGCCAGCCAGACCCCAAAGCCCTGGCATCCGCCTTTGGGGTAGGGACCTAACCAGGGCCACCTCTAAGATTATCTGCCCCAGGACCCTCCAGCCCTAGGCACCCCTTTCTCACCTCTCCCAGGTGCCCCATGGGGGTGCGACAACCACCCCCCCACTGCCGCCTGCTATCTCAGGCAGGTCTGGCGTCCAGCCCAACTGTCCATACCCACATGATCCCACATGGCCCAGCAAGGTCCAGGCACCAGCCTGGGGCCCAGTCCCTGGACTCCTGGAGCAGGGATCCTTGTCTCCCACTTCCTGGAGGTCCCCCGAGGTGGGCTTACCCTGTAGGCAGGTGGGCCCTGTCCAGCCTGGGGTGCAGCGGCACCCCCCGAGCACTGGGTCACACGCCGCCCCGTTGGCACAGAGGCAAGCCTGGCTGCAGTTGAGCCCATAGGTGTGGGCGGGGCAGGCTGGCGGGGTGGGGGTGGGGGGGCATGGTGAGACCCCTAGGGGTGCTGACCCAGGAGACACACCAGGGTCCCCAGAACCTCTGTGTCCCTCTCCTTCTATAACCACATCCCCCTCCTGGGCCTGGGCGGCCCACGACAGGGACACTGTGGACCACGTGGGGAAGCGGCATTCAGGGGTTTAATAGCAAATGCGGCTGCCTGGTGGCTCTGAATCCCCCTCCCACCCGAGACATCAACAAATGCTCAAACCAGGCCCATCCCAGTAGCACCGGGGGCTTCGCAGCCTCACTCACCCTGATCACAACGAGGGCCACGCCAGCCTGCTGGGCAGACACAGGCCCCGCTCACAGCGTCACAGGGGGCTCCACCGGCACAGTCGCAGGCCCTGAGGCAGTCCACGCCAAAAAAGCCGGCAGGGCAGGCTGCAAGGGAGGGGGCGGTAATGGGGGGTCCGTGTGCCCGAGGCCCCAGGCCCGCCCGGCACACCCCGCTCACCACGCTCGCAGAAGGTGCCCCTCCAGCCGGCTGCGCAGGTGCAGGCCCCGCTGATGTGGTCGCAGGCTGCACTGTGCTCACACCGACACCGCTGTCCACAGCCCAGTCCAAAGTAGCCCTGGGGACACCCTGAGGCACCAGCCCAGCCCACCATCAGCAGGTGCCCCGGACAGTGGGGCAAGCACAGCTCACAAGGAAGGGGCTGGGCTCCCCCTCCCTCTGTCCACCCAGTCAGGAACCAAGCCCCAGGGAAATGGAGATTTAGGGGAGCCCCAGATATCCGCCTTTGCAGTTAGGGACCTCGGCCAGGGCCACCTCTAAGATGACCTGAACCCCACTAACCCACAGTACTGAAAGACATGCCCTCCAGCCCTGGGCTACCTTCCTCACTAACCCCAGGTGTCTGGTGCCCCATGGGGTGTGACAACCACTCCCCACCTGCCACTCCGAGTGGGCAACGTCCCACATAGGTTGGTTGGGGGGTTGGCCCTTTTCCTGATACAGCAAAGGGGCAGGGACCTGAGGGCCCAGTCAGGGGGCAGGGACTGGGTGAGCTCAGGCAGAACCACACCCCCGCTTCTCTGGGCTAGGAAGACAGGATGGGGCTCCCTTGGGCCCCTGAAACTTGGGGCCCCTGCGGTGCGGCCTTGGGTGGGGTGGGGACGTCCAAGGTCCAACCCAACTCACGGTGCTCGCAGCGTGGGCCCGTGTAGCCGGCCTCACACAGGCAGCGGCCGCTGGCAGCCTCACAGCTCCCGTGCCCAGAGCTACAGTTGCAGGGGTGCCTACAGTCAGGCCCCCAGTGCCCCCCATCACAGGCTGCAACAGAGTCAGTCACTCAGCACAGGCCCAGCGGGGCCCACAGTGTCCAGAAAGTTCAGGGGTCAGGGGGGCATCTCAGGAGGGACCCCAGTGCACCCCAGTCCCAGGGGCCCCTGTGTGAGGCAGGGAGGTGGTTGCAGGTGAAGGAGCCCACGGTACCCAGTAAGGTTGAGGGGGTGGAAGGTCATGTCAGGAGGGACCCCATTGCTTCCCATCCTGGGGGGCTCCTGTGCATGGCAGGGAGGCAGTGCAGGAGAAGGACCCCCACCCCCGCATACCTCTGCGGCAGTCAAAGCCCGTCCACCCTGGGGCACAGCTGCACTGCCCGGTCGCTGGGTGGCAGTGCCCTGCATTGGCACAGGAACACCTGGCCTGGCAGCCAGGCCCAAACCAGCCTGCCGGGCATGCTGCAGGGGAAGAGAGGGTGAGCACCTGGGCCCGGCCCCTTACCCTGAGGCACACCCAGGGCCCCACTCACCGTCCTGGCAGTGGCTGCCCACATAGCCAGGTGGGCACAGGCAGGCTCCTGTCTCTGGGTCACAGCTGGCACCGTGGTCACATGTGGGGCAGATCTCCTGGCAGCCGAGTCCCCAGCGGCCCTCGGGACACTCTAACCACCCCCATGCCCAGTCAGTGCCCCCGCAGCTCTTGGCCCAGGCGTGGGCAGGGGCCAGGAGAGGCTGCAGGGTACCACACCATCCCCAGGGACAGTTCAGCAGGTATCACCGTGAGCCCGAGAGAGGGTGCCAGGAGGTCCCCACGTGGTGAGGAGACCGTGGGCTGCGGGCTCTGCTGGCTGACCTGAGGCTGCCCTCCAGTTGCCAACAGGCCTCCAGTGCATCCCCCGCCATGGGACACAAACGCCCCCACTCCAGACCCAGCCTTGTTGGCTCAGCAGGGCTCCACAGGTGCTGGGGGCAGGCCTGGGTCTGCAGAGCTCTGGGCTGGGGCCAGGGGCTCCAAAACATTGTCTGGTATCAAGGGTCCCCAAACACTGTTGGGTTAGGGGTCAAGGGTTCTTTAACCACTGTCAGGGCCCCAAACATGGTCTGAGGCCAAGTATCGCCAAACACCGTTGGTGCGAGGGTTCAAAGGAACTTAAACACAGTTCAGGACTGGGGCTGGGGTCCCCTAACACTGTGGGGAGGTGAGCGGAGGACTCCGGGATGCCGCCCGCCACTCACCTGCCCCACAGTCGTCCCCGGTCCTCCCTGGTGGGCACAGGCACTGCCCTGTGACCCGGTCGCAGGGGGCCCCCCGGCAGGAGCAGGAGATGGAGCAGTTCACGCCAAACGTGCCCCCAGGGCACTCTGCAGGAGGGAGAAGAATATGCCTCAGCACCCCCATACTGGTTCAGCCCAGAGTTTCTCCTCCTTCGGGGCCTCCTGGCAATGGGGTCCTGAACCTGCCCCCCACCAGGCACCTGCTCCTGCTCTAGTTCCAGCAGGGCTGCTGAACACAGCCAGGTCCCCTGGTGACCAGGGCAGGTCATGAGAAGGGGCTGGGGAGGCAGCACCACATTGCAGGGCCAGGAGGGGCCTCAGGAGCACAGATAGGCAGAAGTGGGGTCACAGATGGGGTCATGAGTGGGGACAGGTGGCCAGAGGGTGAGGCTGCTCCAGCTGAGTCCCAGCATCCAGGACCCTGGAGAGCTCCCAGGGACTGCGGAGGCCAGGCCTGCTCTGCCCTTTCTAAGTCCCCACTTTGGCCTGCCGCCTGGGAGTTGTCTGCTGGCCAGTGCTCCATGCCCCACCTGGGGATGCCAGTCCAGTCCCCCAACAAGCCCTCTCCATTCCCAGTTCTTGCCCAGCTGGGACGCCTGGGACGTGTGTGCCACGCCCCTACAAGGACTCAGCCCCAGATCCCCAGAGGGCAGTGGGGGTCTGCATCTGCCCACCTATCCCCAGAGCTGCAGCCCTCTCCTGGCAGGATGGGGTGGGGATGGGAGGGAGCAGACCAGATATCCCACAGACTAAGAGAAAAGGGGGCCTTCTTGGAGGCCTGCCTGTCTGCCACCTCCACTCATCACAAGGTCAGTGAGACAAGAAGGGCAGGGGTACGTGCTGGGAAGAGCTGACTCAGGCCAGCTCTGGACACATAGTAAGGCCTCAGGAAGAAGGTGCTGCAGAGCCCCATCCCTGCTGCTCTCCATGGCCGTGCAGGGCCCTGGGTCCTGGAAGACCTGGAGCCTTCATCAGCAGAGTGCAAGGTCCTGGGCCAAGGGGATCCATGCTCCCATGCTTGCCCTGCCCGTCAGGGCCCGGCCTCGGCCTCCCTGTCCCAGGACAACCGAGTGCAAGGCTGGGGGTAACCCTGGGGGGGTACAGGAGACAGCTCCTTCCTTCCCCCAGAACCGAGGCTGCTCCAATGCCCCACTTGCTGCTGCAGGAAAGCACCCCCTGGGCCCAGGAAGGTGTTCGTGGCAGCCTCAAGGTGTAGGCTACAGGAGGATCAGGCTCCACGCCCAAAGACTCACAAAACCCCACTGAGCAAAGCACCTAAAGTTGGGGCTGAGCACCGAGGACATCCCTGCCTGGGGGAAGAGTGTCAGCAGGACGGGGCAGAGTCCCAAGATGGGGGTCTTCCAAGGCCCTGAGAGGGGACTCTGGGAACCGGGGACTCAAGGACAAACCCTGATAAGCCTGTCATGAGGGGCCCAGTCCCAGGGACACAGGCACATCAACAGGACTACAGGTGCAGCCCATGTGCACGTGCAATAGGCGTTTGGGTGCTACACACATGCACGCAGTAGATGCTGCACACACACACACCCACAGAGTGGACCAGGGAAAGGCAAAGCCAGCTGTGCCGGCTGAAGCAGGCCTGCCAGGCCTCCTGGAGCCTCCTCTCCACTAACTGGGGGCAGACACGTGTTTTGGTCTGTAATGGTTTCCAGACCTAACAGCAGTGAGGAGCCCACCATTTCCATCAAACTATGTGTGTCATTTCCTGTGGCTCATCTTTGGGGCTCTAGGGGCTTTTAAAGAAAAAGGAAACAAAAACCCAGCAGAGAACAGTTGGGGTTGAGGCTCTCCTATCTCGCTCTTGGAAAGGCCTTCAGTGTCTCAGCCAATAGGTCTGTGTGGTGGGGTGGCACACCCAGGGGGTCCATGGGATGGGGTGGAAGCGCTGTGCCCCTGAGCTTAGCAGACTGTGTGGCAGGGTGGCCTAAGACGGCCAGTGGAGCGTCCTTGCTCTCACCACTGGCCCCTCTGCTCAGCCTGGGGGGCAGGAGCTCGAGCCAGGTGAGCACCCTAGACCAGCATGTAGGAGGGGGGAGTGCCAGCGCCAGCCCCGGTCTTGGTGCAGTTGCCACGGGCCCCCAGCTGCCCATCCGCCTCAGGCTGGCGGAGGATTTGACCAGCTCAGGGCCTATCAGCACCTGCTGCCATGGACTTGCTTACTCACACCTCCCTTCTCTCCTCTGACAATGACAACACTTAGGCATTTCCTACCCATCATGAGACAGAGAAGCAGAAGGCTCCAGGGACGCTCGTCAGCGGCGCCAGAAAGCAGAGAGGCCCGGTGAGTCACTAGCTCCACCTGGGACCTCCCCCCATCCTTCCTAATCATCCAGCACCAACCCAGCCAGGTGGATGGACTTGGAGAGTGGGAGGCCTTCCTCCCACCAGGCTGGGGACAGGGCCTCACTCCCCACCTTCCCAACCCTCTCCAGCAAAGCCCAGCTCCATGCCTGCTGGGCAGCCCCTGGGTTCTGGGTGCAGTTAAGCAGGGACAGAGTGCCCTCCTCCTGGATCCTACCCTGGGCTGCCAGGCCTCCCAGGGACCCCTGGGGCTGAGTCTGCTGGTCCACTGCACGCCACCCCTCATCTCCCACCATGGAAATGTGGGTACCCAGGCCTCAACTTTGGCCCGCCACTCTGTGCCCATTACCCATTCCCAGGCCATGGCACCCATGTGGAGGGGACCTCCATCACTGCACCCACGCCCCATGTTGGCACCTGCAGCCCAGACTTCTCTCCAGGAGCAGCTGCCTCACACTGCCTCCCCCACATCTCCCCCAGGCATCCCCAAGGAGCCCATTCACCCGCTTGCTTACACTGCCAGGATGGAGCTCCTACAGCCCAGCATCAAGCACAAAGGGCACTCTGGATGTACCAGTGGAGTGAGTGAGTGAAAGAGTGAAACAAGGAATGAATGAATGAATGAATGAGTAAATGAGTAAGTGAAAGAATGAACAAATGAGTGAGTGAATGAATGAGTGAGTGAGTGAATAAGTGAGTCAGTGAGTGAGTAATTCTGGACAACCAGTCCTGCCCTGAGCAGCTCTTCCAGGAGCAGAGGGATGGGCAGACCAGTCACCTGTGCTGCTACAGGTACAGTGACTCAGGCAGGTAAAGGTGTTGGCCCCTTGCCTGGCTCTATAGCACTTCTGCAGCCACCTGCATCTTGGGCCAGGAGCCCTTGACCACTGCCAAACCACTGGGGGCCCAAGGTTGGCCACTCACCTTGGTCACAGTCCTTGCCCTGGTAGCCGGCAGGACACTGCTTCTGACACTCACCGCTCTCGGGATCGCAGGCCACACCTGGTGGGCAGGAGCATGCCTGCTGGCACCCCGGCCCGAAGAACCCCAGCTGGCACTCTGCAGGGCATGGAGGCAGGGGAGGTCAGTGACTGCCAGGACACCCCCCTTCCCACCCCCACCCCCACTCACCGTGCTGGCACCACTCCCCCCAGAAGCCTGGCTTGCAGGCACAGCTGCCGTCCCTCCGGTCGCATGCCCGCGTGTTCCGCTGGTCACAGAGGCACTCTTCCGAGCAGCCCGGTCCGAAGGCCCATGGGGGACAGGCTGCAGCCAGAGACACCACGGGACAAGCCTGCCACTGTCTGTGCTGTCTCCCCAGGTGCATCCACAGAACTCCCAGCCCTGCATCTCAGCACCATGCACTGAGCTCTTGTTCCAGGGCCCTGCACAAGCCAGCCGGTCCCACGCAGCCACCATGCCCTTTATTAACGGGGTAATCTCTGGGGAGTCCAGCACCTCATCCCCCCAGCCCCAGGGGCCTGTGATGACTGCACTCATTTTACAGACAAACAAGGCTCAGGGAAGGCCAGGGACTTGTCCCACGTCCCACCACCTCCCAGCTAGTAAAGTCCCTGCACTTCTCAGAATTCCTGTTTTCTTCTCTAAATAATCTCATGTGACAAAACAGCACAAAGTGTTGCTGCATTGAAGACCCCGCCTCACCACCACGACCCAGGAATCTCAAACACCCAAGATTAGCCCTGCGCCCCAGGAGCTTCTGAGGGAGGCCTGCTCCTGCCTGGCATGCAGGGTGGCTTCCCTGTCACTCTAACTCTAGGTGGCATCAGCTGGGACTCTGCCCACTCCTCAGCCCACCTGGCATCCCAGATCCAGGGCTAGGGGCTGCCTTTCCCCCATGCTGTGCTGTACCCTACGGGTGGAGGCCACCCAGCCGGATGCCCTGGAGGCCAGCTCAGGCCCCTGCCCTGTCCTAGCTGGGTGACCTCTCTGAGCCCCGAGTTCCTCATCCACAAAATGGTGAACAGTCAAACCCAATCCAAAAGGCACGAGCCCCCAGCACACAGTGAGCGAGGTACATGGGCCTGTCCCCCCACCAGAGCCCCCCTCAATGCTGCAGCGCAGCGGGACTCACCGAGGTGGCAGAAGCGGCCATAGAGCCCCGGGTCGCAGAGGCAGGCCCCGTAGACGCGGTGGCACCGGCCTCGGTTGGCGCAGTGGCACTTCTTCCGGCACTGCTTGCCGTAGAAACCCTTGGGGCAGCCTGGGGGGAGCAAGTGTGGTGAAGGGAGGAGGTGGGGAGCAGGCGTGACACAGGGCCCACCGGGGACATGCGGTGAGGGCTCAGTACCCAGCACGGCTGCTCCAGGTGGAGGCAGGCCTCTGTGTGCCGGGACAGCAGAGACTCAGAAGGCAGAGGGTCCACGAGGGCAGGGCAGGCATTGGGTGGAGTGGCTGGACTCTCCCCTGCCTGCCAAGCCACCCAGCTCTGTGGCCTAGACGGTGGCACAGTGAGAGGCCAAGCAGGGCCCCAGCACAGACCAGAATAGCACAAAGATCTCGTCTCACTATCCTGGAGTACCATAACTTCTGCCCCACCGCCGTCACCGAGCCCAGCCTCTAGGACCTTAAAGAGGGACAGATGCCCCAACTGGACAGGGTCCTGGCCTGAGCCCCCTGGTGCCCAGTTTTCTTCTTCTCTGGCCTACCCTGCCCCATGTTCCTCTGACTGAAGGGCTGTAGTTGGTAATGGGTGCCCCCAAAAGACATGTCCACATCTTAGTCTCCAGAACTTGTGCGCATGGCCTTATTTGGGAAAAGGGTCTTTGCAGTGTAATTAATGATCCTGAGAAAAAATCATCCTCGCTCATCCAGTGGGCCCTACATCCAATGGCAGCCATCCTTAGAAGAGAAAGGCAAAGGGCGATTTGAGACAGAAGAGGAGGAGGCCATGTGACCATGGAGACAGAATGAGTGATGTAGCCACAAGCCCGGGAACGCCCAGAGCCTAGGACACTCACACGGGCCCCCGAAAGCCTGCCTGCCAGACTCTCTGGGTGCTAGTCTCCTCCAGCTCCCCTACACAGACACATCTGTCGACCCTCACTGTAAGCCCAGCTGAGACCCAAGCCTCAGAGAGGTCATGATGTTGTTGTGTGCCGTAGAGTCGATTCCAACTCATAGAAACCCTGTAGGATAGAGTAGAACTGCCCCAGATGGTCTCCTAGGCTGTAATCTTTCCGGGAGCAGACTGCCAGGTCTTTTCTCCCGAGGAACAGCTGGTGGGTTCCAACCACCAACTTTTCGGTTAGCAGTCAAGTGCTTAACCACTGAGCCATCAGGGCTCCTCCAGGAAACCACAGAACACCCCAAAGCAGAAGCACTACATTCAGCCCTGCAGGCCCACAGAGCTGCTAGCACACACAACTCCCAGTGTGCACTGGGTCTCTGGCCCCTAGCAGGTGAAAATGCAGGTGAAAGGGAAGGCAGGGCCTTGATAGTACAGGGACTCAGAGGCTGACAGAGAGGGGAGAGGCGGGGAGCCCTGCAGGGCAGCCTGAGGCCTCCTCAGAGCACAGCACACACGGCACTGCCGCCCCAAACATCGGGTCAGGCTCCCTGACTGCTCTTCTCCCCAACTAAGGCAGGGCGTTTATAATACACATTAGCTACATTGCCAGAAAAAGGCAGAATGTATAGGTCTGAAGACTTAAAGACTAAGCATTAGTCTCCTGAGGACTCATTTGCATGGACTCTCATTTCTCCTGAGTCCATGGGTGGTGCAAACTGTGAAAGAACTTGGCTGCTAACCGAAAGGTTGGAAGTTCGAGTTCACCCAAAGGCTCCTTGGAAGAAAAGCCTGGCGACGTACTTCTGAAAAATCATCCATTGAGAACCCCCATGGAGCACAGTTCTACTCTGACACACATGGCGTCCCCATGAGTCAGAGTCGACTCAACAGCAACTGGTTCTAATTGCTCCTGAAATGCTGAAACTTCAGGGTTAGAAGGGACGTTAGCATCACCCCTATAGCCACCAGCACATGACTCATCCCTTCTGTATTTCCTACCCAGCTATCATACAGCTCTGTTTGAATGCTTCCAGGAACGGGGACCTCACTACTTCCAAAGGGAAAAAATTCCAAAAGTGCTGTTCTGTCAAGACTTCATCATCTGCTACAGTTAGAGGCCGGGGAAATCGATATGCAATAAGAAATCTGTCCCCTCTCCCCATAGGGCCTCATCCTTCCCCCTCGGGCACAGCGAGAAGGGAACAGGGTCTAAGCCAAGTACAACGTTCCTGTCCCCACCACAAGGAAAAGAGGAGTCCTGGGGAGAGCAAGCGAGGAGAGTTGTGAGGTGATACTCCCCCCTCCCCTTCCACCCCAAGGATGGCTCCAGGGGCCCAAGGGGGTTGCACGCACCATCCTCACAGTGGGCTCCGCTGACACCTGGGGGGCAGCGGCAGGCCCCCGTTACAGGGTCACAGGTCCCACCGTTCTGACAGCTGCAGGAGGAGCTGCAGTTCTTCCCAAAGGTGTCTGGAGGACACGCTACAGGGGGGACATTAAGAACCAGGGTCACTGGCAGCAGAAAGACTCTGAACCCAGAGGCTCAACAAGGACACGCTGAGCCCCTCTCCTGGGGTCTGAACCATCCAGTTCAGAAGCTGCTGCTCAGAGCAACAGATGTCAGCACTATTACACCATTGCCCCCACCCATGCCTGACGCAGACATCATTAATCAACCACTGCATCGTCTCCCTCTGAGCTCAACACAGCACAGACCCTGCTCAACCAGCATGTTCAAACTTATGAACACACACTTATGAACAATTGTTACTGCCCTTGAGACCAAACTGCAAATGTGGTCTGGGGGGCTGGGTAGGGCATGGGAAAGGCTCTGGACAGGGGCATGGGGGGAGCAGGCTTCAGAAGAGTTGTGAGCCAAGAGTCACTCCTCCCACCCAGGACACTGGTGCAACAGTTCTCCACTGCCTGAGCCAGAGAAGCCCCTCCTACCGGTGACACTTCTGAGACACCCCTTGTTTCCTGATCACTCTATTTTCCTGATCATCACCCGTAATGGTCTTTTGGTTACTGGCTTGTTGCTCAGCCCTGTAGACTGTGGCACTTGTGAGGGACAAACACCTGGTCTTGCTGTCCCCAGGGTACAGAGCAGACAGCAATTTGTACTTATGGAATGCATGAATGACTGCCTGAGGGAATGAATGAGTGAAGGGATGAGGAAATGAATGAATGAGTGAACACATGAATGAGTGCATGAAATGACTGACTGCATGAATGACTATATGAGTGAAAGAGTGAATGCATGAATGAATGAGTGAGTGACTGACTGAATGAATCAATGCAAGAGCAAATGAATTAGTGGATCACGGGAAGCCTCTGCCCAGGGCGGGTGGGAGGAGTAAGAGTGAATGGGGCCATGGCTGCCCACAAGCCCCGCCCGCCACATCCCCACCAGCGGCCTCACCCCACCCCCAGCCTCACTCTGGTTGCAGATGAGTCCAGTCCAGCCCTCAGGGCAGTCGCAGCCATCCAGGCCCGGCAGGCAGGTACCCCCATTGCTGCAGTCGTCGCAGGTCAGGCTGCAGTCGTGCCCGAAGGAGTTGTCCAGGCAGACTGGGGGCAGGTGGGCAAGGGGTCTCAGAGGGTGACCCCAGCCTCAGGTACGCCCAGCCTCGGCAGGCAAAGAGGCCTGGGCTCAAGCCCACAGGCCAGGTGGGGATGGGAGCTAGCTGGGGAGAGGGGACCCTGTGGGGCGGGACCTGAAAGCATCCCTCCCCTCCGCCACTGGAGCCTGGGGCTGCTCTGGTCCAGCTCAGCCAGACGTGCTGTGCAAACCAAGCCAAGTGCTTGGCCACTCTGGACCTTGACCAACAGGACACTGCAGGAGGCAGCAGCCTGGCCCACGGGAGCGGGGTTTCAATGTCATGAGAGCAGGGGCCCTGGGCTGGGCGCTATCCTCACCGAACTTCTCGGCCAGCGTATGCTCGCCCCGCGCCTCCACCTCCTCCTCGTCAGCCATGCCATCCTCCTCGTCCTCGAAGAGCTGGGTCAGCTCGTCCCGCAGCACCGAGATGTGGGGCAGGGGGCGTAAGAAGGGCAGCTGACCATCCAGGTCCACCGCCGGCTCCTCCAGTGCTGGGGACAGAGGCCGCTGAGCCCTGCTCCCAACACCCAGCCTGGTGGGGGCCGTACCCTCCCCCTCCCACAGCATCTCCTGAGCAGGGCCTGTCCAGCCCTTCTGTGCAGCCCCCACCCCAGGGGGAGCCAGTCACTACCCCCGAAGCTGCCCCCTCTGCGCTCTGGTCACAGGGCTGTCCCTGCTGCCCCAGTGACACTGCTTCCAGGACAGAGAAGGCCCAGGTCCTGTAGACTTGACCCATGTCACCACCACCACCAGCCCATCCCAGTTCTGGCCCTGAAGTGTGCAGACCCCTGGATGGGACTCTGAGGCCTGGAGCGGGTGAAAGGCGGGCAGGGTTCTGTCCCCTCTGGACTCTGTGGCACTGGGGATGGTGTCACTTAGGTTGTGGCCCCTTCTCTTACCTGGCAGGGACCCTGGACCACTGGGGCCCCTGAACACCACCTGGCTTAGGGTACCCTGTGTAAGCAGCCCCCTCCCCCACACTGCCATCAGCACCCATGACCAGTCCCAGCAGGCAGGGGTATGGCAGAGCCAACCCAGACCCCAAGACAGAGCCAATGTTCAGAGAGAAGGGAGGCGAGGGGGTCTGGAAGGGCACACAGAGATCGTGAGAAGGGGAGGCACTGGACGCAGACCCCAAAAAGGAAAGAAGGTGAGGGAGTGAGTAGGTGTGGTGGGGACTCACGGGCGCAGCCCCTGCGGTCCTCCAGCAGCCGGAAGCCTGCCGCGCAGGAGCATTGGAAGGAGCCGGCCAGGTTGGCACAGTGGTGCTCACAGCTGCTGTGGCTGGAGGCACACTCGTCCACATCTGTGGGTAATCACGGGGCTTCAGAGGCCATCCTACGAGGCCAGGGACGCAGGCCGGCCCTGCCCAAGTCCCTCCCAGCCATCCTCCCACCCTACGGTCAGATGACGGTGGACTCCCTGCCCCACTAGGCCAGGCTGGGAGCAGCCAGGGTGCAGGCTCAGCCCCACAAGAGAGCGACCAGTGGTCACAGGTCTGCACAGTCCTGCATGGAGCAGGCACTCAACCAGTGCACAGAGGCAGAGTGTGGGGAGGACAAGGCCTCGTGCACACAGGTGGGCCAGTCAGCCCAGCCCCTCCCACAACCCCATCCAGGCGATGGCGCTCACCCTCACAGCCACAGCCATCAGCGCTGAGCCGGTAACCCGCGTAGCAGCTACACTCGTAGCCACCAGGGGTGTTGGTGCAGACCTGCTGGCAGCATGGTGAGTCCACACAGTCGTCCATGTCTACGGGCGCACACCGGGAGCAGCTGGCACAGGCGCCACCAACCCACGCCCACCATCCCAAGGCCACCCGCTCACCACCACACACCCATACATGATCACGGGCACCCCCACACACAATCACACACACTCATGCATGATCCCACACACACACACACAATTGTACACACACCCACATATAATCACATGCACGCCCACACACAATCACACACACACCCATGCACAATCCCATGCATGTGCACACACAATTGTACATACCCTGTGCATGATCATCACATGCACACCTGTGCACATTTGTGAGCACATAGCATACAACGCCATGCATACCTCACACCTATACACAATCACATGTAGACCTCTGCACAGTCGTAAAACACCTGTATACAACTGTGAGCATATCTAGACATAATCACAGGCAAATCCACATAATTCCATGCATACCTCACACCCACACACAATTCCATGCACACTCACACAGTCCCATGTACACCTTACACCCACATAAAATCCCATGCACACCCACATGTTCCCATGCACACCCACATGTTCCCATGCACACCTAACACCCACACACAATTCCATGCACTCTCATACAGTCCCATGCACACTCACATACTCCCATGCACACCTCACGCCCAGACACACATCTGTCACAACCTCATGTATGTTCCTGCCCTATGCACGTGGATACACAGAGGGCACATATCACAGCCTCCGGCCACCCTGCCTGCTCTGGAGAAGGTGCCGGAGCAAAGGCCAGACTGGGGCTGGAGGGGAGTCCACCTTGGAGTCAGGGTCGCGCATCAGAAGAGGCCCCTCCATCAGACCCTGTATGTCAGGGGCTATTCCCAGGCTCCTGGGCATTTCACGAGGGGATGGAGCAGTGCTCAGAGGCGGAAATGTGTGTGCCAGGTTGTGGGGGGGACCCAGCAGGCTGATGCCAGTACCCAGGGATCTTTCCGGGGCCGCTGATGTTGCCTCTCACCAGGCCCACCCCCTGAACACCCTGGCTCGGCCCACTGCGGCCAGAGCAGGGTCCAGCAGGCAGAAGGGCACTCCCTTCTCAGTGCCAGACCTGCCCGCAGACTCAGGCAGCAGCTGATCTCGCTTTGGGTCAGAATGTGACACTCTGGAAGAAATGGGCCCCGGAGCCCAGACCTCCTCAGCCCCACCCAGCAGTGCGCACCGATGCACGTCCTCTGGTCTGCGTCCAGCTCGTAGCCACGGGGACAGGTGCAGAGGGGCCCTGAGCTGGTGTGGCTGCAGCCGTGGGAGCAACCGCCGTTGTTGGCCTCACAGCTGTTGACAATTTCCATCTCGATGCCTGCAACGAGACCACTGGCCTGGGACAGGGGACACGGTCTGGTGCCCCCACCTTGCACAGTCCTCCCCTACCCAGCAGCCAGCCCGGGGCCCCCTTGCTGGGAAACAGGGAGTTCCTGGGCCTAGAGGTCAGGCTCTGCCCTCCCAGGGGCCTGCCCACAGCACTGCTCCTGATTGACAAGGAAGCGCTGCCCCTGGGCCAAAGCAAGTCGGTGGGCCAGTGGAGGGCTGGAGAGCCATTCTGCCCCCCTGGGCGCCCCCCATGCATGCAGGTTCCTGCCTGCTGCCCACTCACGGTAGCACTGCCGGCCGTCAGCGCCCAGCTCGTAGCCCGCATGGCACACGCACTTGAAGGATCCTTGTGTATTGAGGCAGCCATGGGCACACTGGGCCTGCCCCGTGGCACACTCGTCCACATCTGGAGGGGAGAGATCAGGGAAAGGGGTTCTGGGATGCTGGCCTGGGAGACCCAGTGCCCAACAGGCCAGGAGGGCTGTGGCCGGGTGGTCAGGCCTCAGGATTCATCTGTAACAGCAGAGGAGCCACTTGATACCCTCTGCACCCCTATTCCATGGCTTCACCCCTCTGTGTCCCCTGCTACCATGGCTGTACCCTTCTATGCTCCCCCCACTCCACGGCTGCATCCAATGCCTCTGTGCCCCCATTCCATGGTTGCACACCCTCTGAGCCCCCTGTTCTAGAGCTGCACCCCATTCCTCTATGCCTCCCGTTCTGTGGTTGCACCTCATTCCTCTGTGCTCCCCCCTCCCCGAGTCCGTAGCCCCATGACCAGGACCACTGGACCTCCTCTGGATCTGGCCCCTCTGCTCATCCATCTTCTGATGGACAAGCTCCTCGAGAAGACATGTGCTCCCTCTCAGAGGTGGGGTGGAGCACAGAGGATGGTTGAAAGTGTCCACCCTGGGCCTCATTGCTGGGGCCTCAGGTCCTGCTGGCAGCTTTGGGTGAGGGGCTTAGCCTCTCTGTATACAGGTCTCCTTGGCTGTGCCTACCGCTGGTCCCAGGCCTGGACCTGCTGGCACCCAGAGCATGGTTACCAGTACCTCCCCCCATGGCCACGTCAGGACCCGAATACTGGCGGGTGCCCCCAATGACCCCCACAGCCCTCTGCTGCTGTATTCATGCCCCTAAGATTCCCTGGGAGTAGGAGGTCTGACCCTCAACCCCGTCTCGAAGGAGGGAGCCCCTGAAGCATGAGGCTCCTAGTACCACGGGACCTGCCCTTCCAACTGGCAATGACCTTCCAACTGGCCCTTCCTGGCGTTGGTGAAGACAGGAATGCGGGCTTCTCACCAGCTGCCGGGACTACCTCAGCCGGCCGCCTGGCAGGATGCCTGGAAAACTGATCTGACCGCCTGGACCCCCCACCCGACCCGGGACCCTCGCCATGAGCAGTCAGGAAGCATGGACAGACGCCTTCCCAAGGCCATCATCTGAGCTTTTATAACAGCGAGGAGTCAGAAACAGCTCCAAGTCCAGCAACAGCAGTCAACAGCATGGACACCGCCAGGCAGACAGACCGAGGGGCAGCCGAGGGTATCGAGGGGCGTTGTGTTTTAGAAAACAGCGCCCAGCTATGAGCGTGTGTGTCAGATTGCATAAATATGCATATTAAATTAAATGTGTTATATGTGACAGCGAGCCTGTGAGATTTTAAACATGCATATTAACGTCAACGTGTTAAATATGCAGCAGAAAAGAGGAAGCCAAAGCATCACAGTGTCACCCTGGGGCCCGTGAGTGATGTCTTCCTCCTTTTTTCTTATTTATCTTTTTTCTGTATTGGTTCCTAATGAGCAAGTGTTAGGTAATACAATAAAACCTGCGAAAGCTGGAAACTGTGTAAGGCAGAAACCTGTGAGAGAAGGAAAACACAAATATTTCCCACTAAATAGAGAGCCAAAGGCGGAAAACCTGAGCAACCCAGAAAAACATGGGAATCCCGTCGAGTTCCGGCTCTCACAGGTTTCTCCGCACAAAAAAGCATTTTTTAAAATGAAAAACAAACACGGTGGGATCTCTTGCTTCCTCATGGTGACGGGAGACTCCAGTTCGAAGAAGCTGCCTTGAGCATGTTCCTGTCCCTCCCTGTGCCCCTCCAACCCCCCCAGCACATGAGCCAGGGCCAAGTAGCCCATGCATCATCCAGGGTCACCAGAGGGTGACTAGACAGGCCAGCCCTGCCCCAAAAGATCCAGTCCAGCAGGACACAGCTGGGCCAGCCCAGACACAGGTCCCTCCTCGGTGCCAGGGACATGCTAGCTGACTCTGGGCAGGGCCAGAGCAGGGCAGAGGGAGCCTCGTGGGCAGGCCCAGGCTGGCAGGGGTTGGGGGGACAGATAGAGGGGGTAGGGGCAAGGCTGGCAGGGGTAGGGAGCAGATCAAGGGGGCAGGGGCAATGTTGCCAGGGGTGGGGCTGTCAGGGTGAAGGGAACAAGATGGGGGGGACGGGATGGGGCAGGGTGCAGGACAGAAGGTGGGTGGGTCAGGGTGGGCCCACCTTCACAGGCCTTGTGGTCCTCGGCCAGCTGATAGCCGGCGTGGCATTGGCAGTGGGCGAGGCCCCGGCTGGCCTGACAGGTGTGCATGCAGCCACCATTTCGGTCGGCGCATGGGCTTCTCCCTGTGGGCAGGGCCACAGAAGGCAGAGGAAAAGGGAGAGGTCAGGGCCGGGTGTACCTGCCCCAGGTGAGGCCCCAAACGTGCTCATGCCCCTCCCCACTCTGGCCAGTGGGCATCCCTGAGAAGACCCCACCATTTCAGGACAAGGTTGCACTCCCACCAGGATTCACCTGAAGACAGGAGGGCCCTCCCTAATGCCCACCTTCATCCAGAGCCAGGTTTCCCGGGAACCCCACCAACGACAGGAAACAAGGCGGGGAGCCCACCCCCACCTCTTCCCTTTGTTAGGCTCAGGTGCCAGGCTGGCCAACTGAGCACCCTTGGTGGCTTGAGCACCCCTCTCTGGGCCTGTCACCCTATGATATTCATCCCACTACTAGCCTTGGCCCCTCCCACACCCACCCTCACCCCTTCCTGGTGGGGAGGAGCCAGCAGGCCATGGCGGGGAGGTGAGGGGTACACACTCTCATCACTTGCCCACCCTCCAGCCTCATTTCCACACCCAGGGTCCACTGCACCTGCCCCACCTTATCCATCGGCAATGCCTCTTCCTCTGTCCTTCTGAATGAGCAGCCTAGAGATCCCGGGACACATGCCAGAGGGGCCTGGCCACCCCTCACCCAAGGCTGGACCCCAAGTCCCCTGTACCCACAGACAGACCCACAGTGGGGCAGGGTGGGACCCCTCCAGGAATCTCTGGAACTGAGGAATGCACGGAGGCCCTTCCAGTCCCCTAGCATGCTCCCTGAGCCCAGCCCATCACCTGTGCCCTGGGGCTGGACACCTCACCCAGCCTCTCAGCAGCCAGTGCCTCTAAAGACCCCAGCCGGGCCACCTTCCGGGGCGTCTCCAGCCCCAGCAGCCCGTTGGGAAGGCACGTCCCTGTCCCTGTCCCTGTGTGAGCTCATGGGCGGGTGGACAGACTCACGGACGCAGCGCTTGCCGTCCTCCTGGAGCTGGTACTCAGGCCGGCACTGGCAGCGGTGCCGTGTTGCTGTGAGCTGGATGCAGTCATGCTGGCAGCCACCATTGCCCAGGGTGCAGGAGTTGATGGCTGACGGATAGGGGAGGGACCCAGATCAGCCAGGGAGGACAGGCATAGAACAGGAGGTGCAGGGGACACAGGGGACAAAGGGGATGGCCTCCTTTGGGAAGCCATGTGGAACCTCCAGGCCACTCCAGGCCCCTCCTTGGCATCCACAGTCTGACACAACCTTGTGGTCCCTGTCCCAGAAGCAAGGGCTTTGGATCAGCCAATGCCATCCCCCTCTGGTTCACTGCATTCTCGGCCCACCTGCAGGGCACGACGCACCCCGGTTGTCTCTGGACCCTCCAGCCCCAGCCCTCAGGAGCACCGCGCACGTAGGCTCTCTGCCGGATGGCCCGGCCTCTACAGAGCCCAGCGCAGGGCACAAAGCCCCCAGAGCCCCTGGAGGCCTGAAAGGAGGAGGGCAGGGCCTGGTGACCCGAGCCAGACCAACGGGGAGGGGGGCCCGGCACCCTACTCCCAAATGTGGGTGCCTGGGCATTGGGGTGGGGGGACTGGCAGGCAGGGGGCCCAGTGTTTGGAACTGGAGGAGATCTGTGCACCAGCAGCACAGCAGGCCAGCACACGGCCAGTGCTCAGGCTACACTACCTCCCAGAGAGCTGTTCCAGCCCAGCCCCCTCAATAGCTGCATGGCCTCTTTGTGCCTCAGTCTCCTACCCTGTGACATGGGGTGATAGTAACCCCACTGTACATGGTCACTGGGGCAATGCAGGACTGGGAAAGGCCCCATGGCTGGGATGAGGATCACAGTATAGAGCTGGCTCCCAGCAGGCTGTGACTGCCAGCACAAGGTGGGGCTCGGGCCAGTCTCCCAGGTCACAGCGCCCGGCACTGCCCTTCCCGACAGGGCAGCTGCTCTGGCCCAATCCTTGGGATGTACATGCAGGCCACCCCCAGGGCCCAGAGCCCCACTGACTGCTGTGGGTGGGAGCCAGCAGGCAATGCAAGTGGTCGCCCCACACTGCCAGCAGCCAGTTCCTCTCGGCAGGGCAGGTGCCAGCGTGGGGACCAGAGGCTGCAGGCATGAGGAGCCCAGTTAGCGCCCCTTGGGCAGCCCCAGGCCGGGCCAGGCCACATTTACCACCTGACCACACCCAGAATCCCGCCCCTTCCAGCAGCAGCTCTTGGTAATGCCACAGGGCCAGGGACGGAACCCCAGTCTCTATGGGCACGGACTCAGCCTGGGAACGAGGGTGGCCATCAAGTGGGTCACCCCTCTCCAGCTGGCCCAGGGTGGGCACTGGGCCTCCGGCAACAGCAGCAGCTGGCTCCTTGGAGGGAATTTGGTTACAGTCAAGTCGCTGGCAACCGCCTCTGTGGTTAGCAAGGGATCCAGCCGGAGCCGGGAGGAAAGCCACAAGAATGCACACAGGCTGTGCCACAGGGAAGTGGCGTCTGCCCAGCGGAGCTGCCCAAAGCCATGTCTGGCCCAGAATAAACGCAAGGCCATTTACAAAGCATTGCCAGGGGCCAGTCATCACCTGAGATACTGCCTCCATTCTCATCACAGGCCCTGGGGACACCAGCACGGGCTGGTCCCATCTGGGGGGGACTCCTTTCTGTCATTGTGCATGGGATCCAGGAGCGGCACGCCTGGCACAGCACAGCTGGCTCCGCCGAAAAGCAGAGGCATGGGGGTAAGCAGTGCTGGGCAGGAGCCATTCCCACAGCATCCCCAAATGGAACACAGGAGCTGCCCCCAAGGCCCCGACAAGGTCAGGCCATACTGTCTGCAGACAGCTATGCTTCCCTCAAAGCACACTTGCTTTATTTAGAAATAAACCACAACACTCATGATACTGGCCTCAGTTTCCCCATGTGGGGCTCGTCGGTGGGGAACACGTGCTGAGGACCCCTCCTGAGGCAAAGCCAGCCCCAGAGGTAGAGAACACCTGAGGGTGGCAGTGCCAGCTCCAGGGGAGGGTCATCCACCTACAGGACACCACCCCTGGTCCCAGCAGCACCGGAGTGCAGGCTAGAGCGGAGGAAGCAGCATAGCTCTGTCTCACTGGCTCCCTCACCCACTGAGCCCCCTCCCCACTTATCTGCCTCACGAGCTGCCCAGGCCCCAGTACTGGAGCCGTCCTGGCAGCCACCTGAGCAGGCTCTGCCCGTGCCACCGGCCATCATCCAGAGGCTTCCATCCCTTGCCCAAGCTGGCCTGCATTCCTGGGTGCTCTGTTTATTTGTGTTAACAACACCACTGCATTCCTGCTCAGGACACTTAATAGGAACCAGAAGACCTTCTGGCAGGGCCTGCAGGCACACAGGGGGGTGCAGAGCCCAGCTCAGAGGAGCCAGGCTGGGCAGGCACCGCAGGCCGCAGGAGGGCCCTGGAAGCTGGTTGCAGGACTGTAAGAAAAGGGGCCCCCAAATCAGCCCCACCAGGCAGGCCCCTGAGGTGAGCACGGAACAAGCAGGCGTTGGGCTCACTGGAGCCCAGTAGTGAAGAGGTCATGGGCAGGGGCAGGGGTGCAGTGGGGGAGGCTGGCTCCTGGGCAACCTTGTATTCTCCTGAGCCTGACCTCTCTCTGCTTTAATCCACAGTGCCTGTAGCATTCCAGATGCTTCCAAGCTGTGCATAGCCGGGAGCCAAGTGCAGTGTCCTCGTGTACATCCTGTGATGTGGATTCTCGGAAAGCTGAGCAAGGCAGATTCCCCGGCGCTGGACTGTGCAGATCAGAGGCAGGCCAGCCTGTGAGGCCAGGGCTCCAGGCCTTTCGAGTCACTGTGCCACCTAGCCCGGGAACACATGTTCCAGCAACCCCTGTGTGGGGTGTGGCAGTGGGCTTACGCCTGGCTACAGCCCTCACATTAGGACCAAGCCCTGAATTCAGCACAGCTGAGGGCATCCATCAGAAGACAGGGTTTAGGAATCTGCTTCCAAGTGGAGGGAAGAGCCTCCCCCAATTCTGTACAAACACCCCTCAATGATGGACAAATATGTTCCCACAAAGTGGGCTCCACCATAAGCCCCATTTTCTCTTTTACCTCTACTATAATATTGAAGTGATATTTTCTCAAAGGAAGAAAAAAATCCCCATGCTGAGAAGTCTTACTGATCAATGTCATTTTAAGGGAGCAAGACTGCCCAACATATCTGCCCCTTTCTGACTTTAGGCTCTTTTCTCTACCAGGGCCTAAGTTAGATCCCTGCCCACAACCAGATCAGAAGCATTTTACTGCAGTTGGGGACAGCCTGACTCCCCACTGTGCAAATTCTGGGGCATGTTGCTTCAGCCAGGTTACTTATAGGTTCTCATAGAACAGGGCTGCAATTCCACTGTAGGCCAGCAGGAGTCCCTGCTAATCATATTTGTTATGCCAGAGCCATCAAACTCTTCAAAGCGAGTGGGGGCCATACTTGAATAGAAAACTGCAAATTCTAGAAACCTAATTTCCTACAGGGTCAAAGACCTGCTCTGCCAGTGCCAGCTTGTCCTTGGTTCCTGGAGGGGCTGCATTCCAGACAAAGGAAGGGCACTATTTCGGGGCAGAATCTGAGGCCTGGGTGTGGATCTGGAGCTCAAGCCAAGACCATGGTGCCAAGCATCAGGCACAGCCAAGCACTGGGGAGGAGGAGGCAGGTGGGCACTGGTCGCTGGAGACCCTGGGAGTGGCTCAGCTGGCAGGGCCCTAGCCTCCAAGCCCCAGCTTGCCATGGGCCCAGACTTGTGAGCTGAGGGTTGTGCTGTGGCTGGGGAGGCTGGGCCAGTGGAGGGCAAGTGCATCACACGGTGCCAAGCCCACCAGCCACTCTGTCAAACCTCAGGGTCCAGTCAGTGGTTTAGGGCTGGCTGAGGATCTGGTTCCCGTGATTAAGTGAGGTTTTGAAATCACTGCCCTGAGGCTGGCTTGGTTGCTAGGTCCCTAGAGCCTCACACAATGCATGGTGAGGGGCCATTGCAGCCCTTCCTTCTAGAAAGCCCTTAGTTGGGGACAGGGCCAGGATAGTTGGCTAGGACGTGGTGACCTGGGCTTTGCCCCTTCTCCCAACACCAGCATCCCCTCATGCCCCTCTCCACCAGGAGGTCCACAGGTGCACCTACTGCTCTTGCCCCCTGCATTCTGCTCATACCTACTCTCTGAAAGGGGCCTCAGCGCTGTACCAGAGGTACTGTCCATGGTGCAGCCCATGTAAAGGGTGCCCTGGAGATGTGCAAATGGTGGCCCTGCCCATGTGTCATGAGACTTGTGCCTAGGGTGGCGCCAGGCCTAACAACAGCCTACATCCCTGTCCATCAGGCCCTCTCTCCTCAATTCCAGTCAAAGAAGCCACCAGGCAGGACAGTTCCTTCAGCATGGCCGGGAGGTGAGGGGAAAAGAGTGTTGCTCACCCCCAACCTCGGCTGGCCATCCTGCACCCCACATCCTGCCTGGCTCACCCTCAACCCCAGATGGCCATCCTACACCCCATGTTCCAGCTCACTTCCAGCCCCAACCATGCTACCCGGTGCCCCATGCCCGGGCAAGGCTGGTTGCTCTCACTGTTCCCATCTTCCCACAGCTCACCTTTGCTCCGCTCCAGTGGCCAGGATGGCCATGCTTTCAGAGCAGGAGTGAGGGTGGGGGACCTTTTAACAAGGTAACAGGTGGTATGTGACTTTTCCCAGAGGGGGCCCAGTGAGCCCTCAGGGGACACTGGGCACTTCTAGAGAGAAGTAGGCAGCAGCAGAGCCTGGATGGCAGTAGGCAGAGCTTTGGGGCAGCCAGACAGAATGCTGACATGCCCACCATGCCCACTCCAATCCCTGTGTAGCCAGCTCCCCTCCTCACTGGGGCCTCAGCTCCACCGGCCCTTCTCAGGGAGGTCCCCAGACCTCCATGGGGCCGCTGCTCCCCACCCTGCTTCATTCCCGCAGAGCATTTAGGGAATGACCTTGTCTGTCGTTTAGATGATTGAATTGTGTCCCCCAAAAAATATGTGTTGTAAATCCTAACCCCTGGCGATTTTCTCCCAGAAAGATTTCACCCTAGGAAACCCTATGGGGCAGTTCTGGATGGC